ATAATAATAATATTTTTTTTTTTTATTAGAATTATGTTTCAGAATACTTTGTCCAATCGGCAAACCGCGGTATATGAATGTATCTATATAGGTACCTATTTTCAACTAGGACATTTTTTATACTTGCTACTTTTCAAACTTAATTTTACAAATTTTATACATTTTAGATACCTTAACTCGTAAGGAAATCTACCAACAAATAAATTAAAAACGGCAAAACCAGATACAACCCAAATTGAGTTTTGTTATTTTTTCATGAATCCAAAATTAATAATTCTTAAACATCTTGAAAATGACAATGATTATTATTGAATAAATTCACTAGGTACATTTTTGACGGTGCTAGATTTTTAAAATTATTTTTTGTAATTTTGGGAGGTTTTTTATGAACATATTAGATTCAGATGTTTTGAAGTTCAAAAATAGTTAATTTTAGGTTATTAGACCACAACACTTATAAAGTTAAAAATATGTCATTCTAGATTTATTAAAATATCTCAAATGTAACAAAACATCTAATTTATATATATTGTCCACATTTTATGGTTAAAATATAGTTTTTTAATATACCTAATAAATAAAATGTATTTTTTTACTATATTTACTCGATAAAAGTTAAATGTATTATTTTTATTCTTCACCTATATATAGATACACAGTCATCACTCATCACATTTATAGATATCTAGATTCTAGATGTAACTTAATATGTAATTTATTTTCAGATTTATTCTTAAGTTTTGATTAATTTTTAAAATGAAGACTTTTTTATTTAGTATTTATATTTTAGACAGTTAATAATCAATATATAATAAAAAGCATTAAATATAATTTATTTTCCTTGTATGTCACTTTTTCTGAAAAACTGTATACTGGGTATAAACGAGTTAAAAAAATACAGTTAAGTCAATTTTAACTTTTTAAAATTGAATTTGAATTAACTTAATTTTTAACTTCACTGATTTTAATAGAAATAAACTTGATAATCAACGGGTTAAATTTAGTTACCTAAATCCAAGCTACGTTAATTTATAAATAATCAAATAATAAATACAATAGGATTATTATTGAAGATACATATTGCATAAACATTTTATTTTATATTTACCTCTTATTATTTTAAACCATATTACTGGCCATTTATAAATTTAAAAATAAATAAATAACTTAACTAAGGTTAATGAGTTAATTGTACTTAACATTTACATTTTACTTAACTGAGTTTAAAAAAAATTAGGATAACTTATTTAATATACACTTTTTTAAATGTTTTCTATCAACTTAACTTAACTCAATTAAAAATTATCATGAACTGACCCAGGCATGCATATTATTAATATTTATAGCACCTACCTATTGAAGTTTATAGTTTATCAATTGAATCATTTTTAATGTAACCATATATTAATTAGAATATTTAGATGGGTTACTCATAAACCACTACTAAATACTAATTTATTTAATTGAAATCTGTGAATAGATTTGTAATATAGTATAAAAAAAATTCTCTTTTACATGCTACAGAAGTAGTACAATCGAGTTTGGTTTTTCGAAGATGCGACATGCATATTCCGCTCACTTGTGTCATATATTTATGCGTACCTAGTGCTTAATAAATACACTTCTAGTAAGTAATACAATAATAATAAGTAATAAAAATTAAAATTAAAACTTAAACAGAAAAGAAGTAAATATGCAAACACGGAGGTTCTAGCTCACTGTTCATTAGTTAGTTCAAGCCTAACAAGGTAGGATATGGATTATATTACTGCCAACAGAGCATAAAATATATGAACCCATACCAAAAATCACGCCCAAAAATTGTGGTACAACGTAGCCAATTTGAAAAATTAGTCTTTAGCAATGGTTGACGGGAGGTACGTTTTTAAACATTTCACTAATTTCAGTCTAATGACACTGCCATTGTCCATCACACTAATCACGGGTAGTATACATAATATAATATATGGCTATTATTCTGACTAGATACATTTTCGTAGAATGAAACTTTATCATAAGAAATCATACATTTAAAAAATAAAAATAAAATTGTATGGACTGCAATGTGAATCAAATCATGCGGTCCAATTGTTTGGTATTATTAATATTAGGTATATAAAATATTGATGCCACTTGGGCGATGTTACGCTGAGATTATAATAATAATTGGTACTGTTCAACTGTTTGTTGCTGGTTCGCCCGATTCTTATAGAGTAGGCAGCCGAATTCACATACACCAGTTAATAATGCAGGTAGTCAACCCAATACTCACCATGCAACGAGGACGACCAGGAGTGGAAACAATTTATTCATACATGCAGTCAGCTGAAACGCTTAATTTTGACGCAGTTGCGTCAACTTTGCAAAGGGGGTGGTACCACCCCCTAACTGTGGCTCAGAATTACATGCTAAAGCCTGATCTCTTGGCTCTTTTTTTGATCACATTTTATCTACATCAAAACTTAATTATAAGTAAAAATAGGATGGTAGTGGTGGTGTTAAGTACTTAATTATGAAAATGCGTCATTTAAAATTGAAGTTTAGTCCTCCACTGCATTCAGTGTTAAGTAAGTTAACTTTTTAAAAGTAACCAAGTTACGTTACTAGTTAAAAAATAAAATAGGTAACTAGATTACTTGTTAGTTACTCAAGTAAAAATGTAATGTGTAAAGTTACATTTTTTGCACAAAAGTAACGAGTTACAATGACGTTATTCTTATGTTATTAGCAATAATCCGTACACAACCGTCTGTCCGTATGTCGATGTACATATTTTATCAGATATGATCTAAAAATTAAATACACTATTTCAGTTGCTGCCTTTGTAGTTTATATACTGTAATTGATGATTATATTTAGTTAAATTAAAAATAATATTAAGACAAAATCATTTATTTATATAGTAATATTAGATTATACTGGGAAAATGTAATACCTACTTAAATTATTAATATAATTAAATTTTCTGATGTGGATACGAGGGGAAGGCCTGTCGTGAAGTAGCACTGAGATAAATCCCCCCCAAAAAAAAAAAAATTATAATGTAATGAGTTCTTCTGCTAAGTTACTTCTAAATAATTAATGTAGTTACTCTTGCGCTACCCAAAAATAACGAAGTTACTTAACGTTACTGAAAAGTGTAACTACGTTACATTAACGAGTAACGCACGTTACGTTACTACCCAACACTGTATACATGGTATAGAGGACGCTGAGGTTATTTATCTGGACTCGGGAGAAATGCTCAGTTGATCGGTTCAGAATGTTGCTATGATCCACAGAGTTCACAAAAAATCGGACAAATACTTAAAACTAAACTTAAATTTATTATGACTACGATGAGTGATGTAAATGGTAACTACAATATAACTGACATGGTAGATGGACTCCACGACCTGGGCGGCCTATCTGGGTGCAGACGGTCTTACGCGATGAGTACCAATCCTGATCTTAGGGTGATGGACCCGACGTGTGTAACTGCAGCTGGTAATGACTAGTATTTATTTGTATAACAATAATGATAATTCTGTATTTCCATCACGGTTTCTTCTCGCAATGATAATACAAAATATATAATACAATATAACTTCTGGTCACATTGACCACACGATACAATTAATAATAATAAAAAGAAACGACATATTTTGTGTATGTACCATAACAAATGTAGGTACCCAATATCTACGACACACGATCGAGACAAAAAAAACATTGTTTAATATGAGTGTATGATAATATTCTACACATGCACACAGCACACATTGATATAAAATATAAATCACAAGGGAAATGCATATATTATTATATTCAGGTAATAAATTGTATTTGGCTAGTAAGAAGAGAGAGGGACGGCCATCTCAAGATATCTTAAATCGTGTTGCCAGTTGCCGTATTATCGCAATTCGCAATAGTGATATTTACTTTTAAAGCCGGATTACGACTTCGTGTGTTATTGTGTCTTGCGAGGGTGTGATAACTTTACGGTTACAACTGGTAACCATCATATGTCCATATTGGTTTAAACGTTGAGCTGTAGGTAGTCACTTCTTGGTATATTCGGTTGCACGTATTTTATTACATAATACCAAAAAAGTAACGTCCAATCACAATGAGATTTGATCGTGTCGACGTAGCTGTGAATTCACTTATAATAATAAGTGTAACGCCGCGATAATTTAATTTTCAATTACGGTGGCAACACATATATTTGCTATAAAAACTATGATTTTATGCATATGACATATTTTATATTTTTTTTGTTATTTTGAGTCCCAAAAATTGTTTTATTTCTCTTTAAATTTATGATATTGATTTTTACTTGGTTTCACCTATTCTTGTATACTAATATTATATTACTTTTTATTATCTATCAAAACCTGTTAGATCAACAGACATGTCTTCAGTGGCTGGATTGAATAAATGTTGCTCTTAGCCAATAGCCAGTGGGTTGCGCAATAGGCCACTTAAATCTAAATAATAGGCCTAAAATATAGTTTATATAATACATTAATAATTGTATTTATGATAAAATAGATAAATTTATGAAAAAACATAAAAAGAAACATCCTACTCATCAGTTTTTTTGATAAGTTTGATATCTATACACACTTAAATCTTAAATATGATTAAATTATATTTCAAAATACCTAATATAATTTCTACAAGTCTTTCCATGTACCTATATTATTATTAAAACAAAACCAAATTAATCAATAATTGTTCTGTGTTGGAGGCTTGTAGCCTGTACCACATTGTTGAAGTTAACTATAGAGAGAAAACCATAGCAATATAGATTTTATTATGTACCCATGTTGGGTTGTTATCACTGTGTACGTTGCTATGCCATGCGCTAGTGCTTAAACGATGAAAAAACTCCATTTTTACGAACTGAAACCAAAATGATTATAATATAACGAACCAAATAGGTATTTATACCGTCATAGACCGTTGTCAAAATAATTTTAAAATAGGACGCAAAGATCGATATTATTCTTGTTATTATGTGGTTGGAAATATTATTGGTTATCTCGGTGTTGTCCGGGACCTTAGCGCTATTCCTACTTTATGCGGATCCCGCGGAAAGGGAAAGCGTTGGCGGCATTGTCCCGGAGCTGAGGCCTACCCCGCTTAGTTCGCGATGGTCGAGGCTGCAATTGTTCAAGGACGAGGAGGACGCAGCGAGAAATGTGAAAACAGTGACTGTGTCCAAAGACACAATTTATGCCATGATGCAGAGGGGCGTTTACGCCCTAAACACAAAGGACGTCAAAGCTGACGACGAAGGAAACGCGATCGACAATGGCGAGGACGACCGGTGGGCCCGAGAGCTAATGGAACGCATGTGCGCCGAACTGGACTTACACCATCCGAATGTAATGTCATTGAACCGGCTCGTTAACGATTATTGCGATGATTTGGAAAAAATGATGAACGAATTCGAAGTCAGTGCAGATGATTATCATTATTATCGAATATTACTATAGGTGGGGTTCGGATATTATGTATAAGTAGGTGGGTACCTAGGTATTTTATAATAACAATTTGCGTATCTGTCACTTGCGCTGTTGGGAATTTAGATATTAGGTAGTCATGTTCTATTTTCAGTATATTCTTTCGTACCGATCGGCGATATCGGCTACAATGCTACATCACACTGCATATAGATAAGTGTGATTATATTATCACAAATATCAAGTACATAGCTTAAAATAATGTGTGTACCTACCTACCTATGATCTATCTATATAATAGGTGTTTGTTAGTAAGTATTCGGTAAACTGAACCAATTGTTTGCACACATATTCATTTAGACATGATGAGTGTTTTAGTTTGATTTTTCAACCCATATAGGTTTATATAAGGTAGCCAAGCACAAATTTCGTTTTCACTCACAAAATTCAAATATATATTATTTGTTTATCGTACATAATATAAGGATGCCATTGGTTACAGAAATAAAAGCAACTTTTATCAAATCTATAATATATAAATTAATGTATATTTATAGCTTCTCTAGGTGCTCAAAAACTATTCGACCGATTTTGACGAAAATGTCAGAGATTATTCTTAGAGATATCACTATAATATCAGTAAAATGTAGAGAGTAGTTTTAACAAAATTCGAAAATATACCAAATGCTACCTATATCTAATCAAAAACAGCTAGGTGGATTTCCCATCTCAGTTGAATAAGTTCACTAAGCGAGGTACACCGCCACCGACTTACATGTAAAGGAACACTTTAACCAGGATAACCGAGATACAACAATATAGAGCCGTATTTTATATTTGTTTGTTTTTTTCAGGGCCAATTCGGGTAATAGGAGCTTGTTAATTATAATATAAATTATATAATTGCTATAAACAGGAGTCACTATGTTGTTACAATAACAGTTTGGCCCAACTTACCGAAAAGCGTATGGCTGTTGAAAAAGAGATAAAAATACAGTCTGCCCAATGCAAGCAGCCAGACGCCGACGAGAAGGTTGTGGCTACGACCAACGACGAAAGCAGTCATCGCCACTGGAAACCACGTCCCGTGTCCATTAGAGACAAAATCGTTGTGGCCAGCCGGGCCGACGACGACTTTCTAACAACAATCGAACAATTCGGAAAGGAACCTCATAAATAACGATAATTTTGAAAATATTTATAAAATGTACTTGACTAAATTTTAAATTATTTAAATAAATTTAAATAATAGTAAATAGTACTATTTTGATTTATATTTTAGTAATTTAGTTTAAATAAACTTTTACTTGAATTATAATATAATCCTAATTATCATAGCCGGATAATTATTAACAATTTATCTAATTTATCACCATATCAATACCTATTAGTAGAATTATGAACTGTGGTGCTTACGTATACATATTACTATTTACTATTAAATATTATCATCATCCACATTATTTAAGAGGACGTAGCACCCGCACCCGCATGAGTTTACGCAGTATGAGTGGAACTCGCTTAATTTCGGTGTTAGAATAAAAGCACCTATTACAAAATTATAAGATTAAAATATTTTGGAAGGCAAGACGCAGAGTTTTTTATTAAATGTTGAAATTGTTGTTATTTCTAAAAGATATAATGAATTTCATATTGGAAATAATAGAAAAAAAGCTCTCGGAAATATTGTCGCAATTTAATTTTATAATAGATATTTTTACTCTAGAACTAAAATTGAGCTAGATCTTCTCAGACTGCGTAAAATGTATATGTCTTATACGTGTGTAAGACGGAGATCACACATGCGAGTGCGACGTCCCCATATTATCTTAATTTTTTTTTTAAACAGTGACTAAACATTTTTACTAAAATTCCATTTTATCTGACCCACGCACAACATCGCAAATTTACATTTAGCAAAACCAACCCTGTGTTGTATTACTTTTAATATTACAGTGAAATCAGTGAATTCACCTATTATAAAACTTTAAGTTAAGAACATTAGGCACAGTGTGCCCTATACATTGGCTATTCTATGGTATTTTCAGTTTTATGTAAGTTATGAGCAATAGTTATTACAATTTAAAAATACTTATATCATTTTTATAAAAATTAAAATATCGTAAAAGACGGACATTTCTCCAGGCCCACAATTTCAAAAATGTTCATCAAAACGTTACAAATGGTTTGTAAGCCGTTTGTAAAGTTTTGTAAAACTAAAAATTTTGATTGTAAAGAAAACCAAAAAAGGGTATGTCCAATTGAGGTGGGGGGGGGGATGGAGAAATAGCTAAAATCCATGTAATTTTGAAAACAAAAAATTTTTTCAGCTCAATCATTTGTAAGTCGTTTGTAACGTTGTGTAAAAACAAAATTTTTTATATTTGTAGGTACCTAAATCTATATTTAATAAAATAAATCTTGATTGAATATCAAAAAAAAATCTGAAATATATCTATATAGAAAGAAAAATCATCAACTAAAAAAATAATAAAAAATTTAATATGAATAAAAAGCCAAGTTCAAAAAGTCTTATTCGAATAAAAAATTTTGAATGAATACAAAATTGAATTCGACTAAAAAAATGTCAAGTAAGATTTTTTTTCAACTAGGATTTTATTATCCGATTCAGATTTTATTTATAAAATTAAGATTTGTTTTAATTGCTTATGATTTTATATTTAATAAAAAAAATTCTAATTTAAATTTAAAAGGTTAGTTGAAACAATAAACAACAAATTATTTACCTAGTATAATATAGTTAATAAAACCTAAATCGGACAAAAAAGCCTGGTTGTATAAAGTTAAATATTAAAAAAAATCTAAGTTAAATAAAAAGAGCCGAGTTGAATAAAAGCCTTATTAATAAAAAATCTATATTCGAAAACAATTTAATTTAAATAAACAATTTAAAATATTATCTTTTAATTCACTTTAGATTTTTTATTCAACTCGGATTTATTTCAAATTTGCCCTCATTATTGAATTAATATTTTTTCGTTCAAACTGTTTTTTTTATTATTTAGTTTGGCTTCGTTTATTGAATTTAGAATATTTTATAAAAATTATATTTTTTTACTAAATAAGTAAACATTTATTTTTTTGTCAAATTTAGAATTTTTTATAACATAAATTAATTTATCAAATATAGATTTTCCATAATGTTTTTTTTTCTGTTTAGATATTTTTCAGATTATTTTTTTGATATTCAGTCAAGATTTATTTTATTAAATATAGATTTACAAATAGACAAAATGTTGTTATACTATATAGTTAGTACTTTAGTAGTAAAATTATAGAGCCGCGGCCTGCGGCCTGCGTGCAACAACGATGGCGTAAATTTATTTTGCTGAGAGAATGATGATTTTCAATTTCAATTGTTTGCGTTTGTTTGTTGACTTTTACAAGTACCTATTATACAACTTTTTGAAGTGAAGTAGGTGAGTTACAAGTTCAAAAATACAATTTATTTGGTTTTTTGTTGACTTATGATACATTTAAATTTTGACTTTTTTAGATAGGGAATTTTATACATTTTACTGAGTACAAATATATATCAGTCCTGTCTCAAGTATATTTATTAATCTCAACAAAAAAACTAAGTGTACAAAACCTCACTAAGAAAAAAAAACTCAAGTTAGAAAAGTTGTTATATCAATAAGTAATTTCTTAAATCCATTAGTTTAAAAACTGTTTGTATTTGATGAAGTGAGATAATTTAATATGTACAAATAAATTAACTTATAACTTGGCATGCTAGTATACTATTATACTAATATGTACAACTACAATTAAACATAATATAATACTAACATAAATATTTATATCCTCATTTTATATTTGTATAATATTACCATACGTCATAACACTATTTAAGTAGGTACCTACCTATACATACTATAATAGTAGTCACCAAGCTAAGTTAATTTATTTGTATCAAAGAATCGCACTTCGTCAAATACAAACAATTTCTATCTATACTAATGAATTTAAAAAATTTCTTAGCCACTTTTTGATATGACAATTTTTCTAACATGAGTTTTTTTTTCTTAGTGAAGTTTTTTACACGTAGTGTTTTTATTATTGTTACCTATTCTATTTATTTTTTTGTTTTATTTAAAAAATTTATTGAAAGACTAGGTAATACATAAATATCAATAACAACTTTATTAAATAAGACATAAAGTGGACAGCTCACCATGTAAGTATCACTTACAATACACGTTTGGAAGGCTGAGCGAATGTAGAGCTCTACTTGACAGTGGATTCCACATAAACGTAATCACCAAAAGCTTATCAATCTCTCTTTAACTACCAGGAAGGAAACTCTCTTTCGACATGTGAAATCGGTGCTAATCAAGTTTAAGCAGAAGCTTGCATGGACTTAAGGATTCAGTCCAGAACAAGTGATTATTAAAGACTAGATTGTTACTGGTGAATTACGTGCCACGGGCTTAGCCTGTGTTAATTCCATAGTTGCATCTCTAGAAACTGATTGGAAGGATCTACGCCTAGAGGAAGATACAATCTACGATTGACTGTGTACTTAAATGTGTAGGTATAAGATCAGAAATACTCATATATTAAAATGGCCCATTATATTTTTCGATACAGGTATAATTGTATTAATATTATTAATTTAACGTAGTTTTGACATCTATATATCTTTAATATTTTTCAACTGCCACTGTATCAATATAGGTACCTGGAGCCTTGTATTAAATTATCACGCTTTTTTACCCAACAAATAACTACATATAATTGTATTGACAGTTAAAGAAAAAAAACTAAAAAAATTACGTCAATGTCCGATAAACAGCCCAAAAAGAGTCAAAATATTTTCAAAATTTCTTAGTGTATAGAAAATGAAAATATAAAAAGGTGTTCTGCTGTGCAGTAGGTTACAAGTGGGTCACTGTATAATGGATAGTATTAAATTTGAATTCAATGATATAATATCATTGTATAAGAAAAACGATTCTGAGCAGAGACGGTATGTCAGTCTAGGTATAACTGTATAAGGCATATTAGATATATACTTATCTATGGTATTAAAAAAAATTGACCTATAATAAATTCCAAATTAATCATATCACAATATCCATTAGGTTCTTATAACGCGTTATACATCAACAACAAACCCTGATACTATCACAGATATATAATAGTGTACTTTAGAAATTTCAAGTACCCACGAATAATATTATACAATCACAACGAAATAACTAAAATATAGTTATTCTAGGTTTTTTTTATGTAATTTCATCCAAATTTGAACTTAAAATTACTATAAAAATAAACTGTGCATATGTATTTTTTAGATTTTTTGCTAACAAAATTAACTACTTACGTGGAATCTTGTTTTAAATTTGCAATCGTTAGATATAAAATTCGAAAATTAATTTTTTAACTACAAAATAATTATTCAATTTTAAATTTGATAAATTTTGTCAAAATTCAATCTTTAAATGCTTATCAAAAAAAATTGTGCATATATATTTTTAATATTTTTCAACTGATATTGTAACAATATATCAGGAGCCTTGTATTAAATTTTTACACTTTTTGGCCCAACAGATAAAACTTTATTGATATTTATAGAAAAAAAAACTAAAAAAAATTGAAAGCTGTAAATGTCCATAAACAGCTCAAAAAGAGTCAAAATATTTTCAAAATTGTAAGGTGTATAGGAAATGCTAATATAAACATTCAGTGAATTTTTCATGTATCTACAATTATTCGTTTTTGAATTACAACAAAATAGGAAAATCGCTACATGAGAAATCGAGTGAATATCCAATGTTGTAAAAATTTGAATTTCAAACGTTCATAAAAATTTAATTTGACTCTCTTATAGACATTTTATTTTGCTAAAGGTAGATAATCTTATAAGGAATCTTGTATTACATTTTCAAATCTTAGATTTAAAAAGAAAATTTTTTACGAATTCTTAACTCAAAATAATTTGTTAATTTTCGTGATTTTTCCATATTTTGTCAATTTTTGAACTTTAAATGCTTATAAAAAAAAATTGTGACTAAGGATTTTTAATATTTTTCATCTGCCTTTGAAACAATATACTAGGAGCCTTCTATTAAATTGTCAAGCTTTCGCAACCAACAAATGAAATTTTATTGATATTTTTAGAAAAAAACTAAAAAAAAATGGAAAATGAAAATGTCCCTAAACAGTTCAAAATAAATCAAAATATTTTGAAAATTTTATTGTGTATAGAAAATGCAAATATAAGCAACCAGTGAAAATTTCATGTATATACGTTCATTTTTTTAGAGTTACACCAAAAACCAAAATCTATTTTTTGGAAAACCGATTTTGCGTAAAAATCCTCGATTTCCCTTAGGTAATTTTTATGTTGTTTTTCCGGCGCTTGTGAAAACTAAGAAATTTTTTCTTTTGACCCCCCCAAAGTACCAACTAGATTCACTTTCCTATCAGAAAAGATACTGTTGAAGAAAATCCAATCACTTTTACTGTCCTAAAACGTGATGACAGACACAAAAAAATAAAAAATAAAAAAAAACACATTATTGTAAAATCAATACATTCATCGTTCCAATAAGAATCTAAAATTCAGTGAAATTGTCATGTATCTACAGTTATTCGTTTTTGAATTACAACAAAATAGGAAAGTCGCTACATGAAAAATCGAGTGAATATTCAATGTTTTAAAAACTGGGACTTCCAACACTCATAAAAATTTAATTTGACTTTCTTATTTTTCAAAGATATTTTTTTTCTGATGAACGTAGATAACCATATAAGGAATCTTGTATTATATTTTCAAATCTTTGATTTAAAAATAAAAATGTTTAGGAATTCTTAACTCCAAATAAGTCGCTTATGTATTTTCTCAAGATTTGATCTTTAAATGCTTATAAAAAAAAACTGTCACTAAGGTTTTTTAATATTTTTCAAGTGTTTTCTAACAATATAATATCAGCCTTGTATAAAAATTTCAAGATTTTTTTATCCAACAAATAATATTTTATTGACATTCATAGAAATAAAAACTAAAAGATTTGAAACTGAAAATTGTATGGTGTATAGTGTATACTGTATAGCAAATGTTACTAAAAATGTTCAGTGAAAATTTCATGTATCTACAGTTATTTGTTTTAGAGTTACGCCAAAAACAAAAATCGATATTGTCGAAACCCGTTTTTTGTTTAAACTCCCTTAATTTAGAGGTATTTTGTTTTTCACTGCGCTTTTGAAAACTATTAGGAATTTTTTTCTTTTGACCCACAAATATCAATTAGATTCATTTTCCTATCAGAAACTATTATAATTTATAGCATGAAAAAAATAAACTTATTTATTATAAATTGGAATTCAGGTTCAAAATTGTAATATTTTGTCTGTGAAACTAAGATAAAAAAAAAAACCAAAATTGTAGAAAAAAAATAAAGCTAAAAGACATGACACCTGCAAAATGAGCAAAAAAAACAAAATAAAAACACCGCTGGCGATCCAAGTGTTGTCTTTTACTGTAAAGCCACTTATGTTGCTGGTGACCTAAACCATATTATTAATGTAACGCCACTTGGTTCGCCCGGTGCCAAATTTTACATCAACATTAAATACAACTTAACCTCCACGACTTGGAGACAATAATATTTAATACGCACCATGGCGGAGAAAAGAAAAATGTCTAACTTTATGTGGCCTTAGACGCACTAAACTGACTTGGGCTGACAGCTGCCATCTAGCAGTCAACAAATTATCATATTTTGTAAATTTAAATGATGTTTAAGGGCCGATTTCACCAACACAGTTAATCACGATTAACGTTAACCGGAGTTTTAATCGGCCGAATTTGGCCGGTTAAATATCTGTTATCAGCCGATTAAGCGTTAACCGTAATTAACTGTGTTGGTGAAATCGGCCCTAAATTGTTTAAAACTAATTGATATGTCATTCCCTCAAAAATACTATTCTCTGTCTTTTTTTATAATAGCTAATAAGTAATTTTACTCTAAGATTACAGAAAAACATAGAAAAAAAAATGATTCTACGTACATACGTTTTGTCTATGTCCCGAGTGGGCCAGAGAGAGAAAACAAATGGTGAGCTGACATAATCTTAATCAATTATTTTTCTTTATTTTAAACATTCTTAATACAAAAATAGTAGTTATCTTATAAAAAATTATTATTTTAGAGCTGGTCTTCAAGAATGATAACCAAGAAAAAAATATTATTTTTTTAACTTCAATTGATTTCTTATACATTTCCAACTTGATGGAAACTTTCGAACATCACACTCATATAAACGGTTTCCTTTAAAGAGAGCTTTAATGTCAATTACATAAGCAGATTCTTCAATTTTACCATGTGTTAAATAATTCTGAAATACATAAGCACATACATTTAAACATTATAAACACCTGGAATAAAAATTTATTTTTAAATTCAAAAATGTATTGTTGCTATCAAGACTTAAATATCCTGACTCAGCAACCCAACCAATATCTGAAGAGAAACGCATAAAAATATTTTTTTTTTTAACTGTTATTATTTTTTTTTTTTATTAAAACGGCGCTACACCCTTTCTCTCTGTCTAACAAACGCATAACATAGCAAATTGTAAGTTCAAATAATCTATTTTACTCTGTACATATTATAAAATTTAGCAGTAAGAATATTATCTAGTGAACCTCATATGTGTGTTTTTAAATGTTAATTTTAAAGCGAGTATTTTAAAATGCATAAACAATTACGCGTTTGTAAGACAGAGACAGCGCATGCGGGTGTAGCATCCTCTTAAAACAATAGTTTTTTTTTCCATCATAAAGAAACTGTATTAGTATTTGCATTTTGTTCCTGTGTAAATATTTTAACATTTAATTCAAAATACGTATAATAGCATTGGCCATTGAGTATATATCTCTACTATGTAATAGGTATTTTTTTAAATCAAAAATAAGAAAATAACTTCATTACAATTTACAATGTACAATTTAAATAAATCATTAGAATTTTACATTAATTAATTAATAGTTCACTAATAAAAGTAAATTAATAAACATACCTTAATAATGTTCATTTCAAATGAGTTTTTCTGACGTGTTATGTGCTGTTTTAGATATATTAAACTTCTGTTTAAAAACCATCTTTTATGTACAGTTTTTAATATTATTGGCATCAAATCAGATAAATTATTTTTTTTATATTTTGCCCGAGTATTACAACCCTCTTTCAAATTCTTATAAATATAATCTATTTTTAGTACCAGAAATCTATAAAAAAAAAAAATGTTAGTTATATTTATAACAAGTTACAAATTTAAGGTTTATGCTACAGTAACATTTTCTAAATTCGTCTCTCATGCATGTGAAACATCACAACAGCACAACAATTTATTAGTTCCATAGTCTTTGTGAAAATACATTCAAGAAAATATTACAATATTGTTATGATTCATCATTGCTATTAAGACACAAGTAGTATATCAAAAAATTAATTTTTATTAAACTTTTGGGAGAAGCCTTCCATTTTTATTTAGGTATTAAAACTAATTTCTTATAATTTAATAACACTTTTTTTTAAATAATATGGCATTTTACACATAAGAGAGATGAATAGAATGGATATTAATATACACCCTTCTCAACTAAAAAACATAGGATAAAATACTTTTCTTCAGAAGGTCCAATAGGTTGATTTGTACATTCATGACGGTAAGTTCTTGTTGGTAACAATTGAGGATAGATAAATACAGGTTCATCATAATATAGCATAAATTCTTCCACATGTAATGGTAGTAGAACATAGTCACTGAAAATTACCATATTAAAACTTAATGATGAGTCAAATAAAAATATTTAGTTTCATCAACAGACATATGAATGTATTTAAAGTGGCATAAATTGTTTTCCCCATAATCTTTATTGATTGGGTTGTAAACAATGCTTATAAAATAGTTAGGGCTATAATCATTACAACTTACTAAATAAGTTCATTACCTATTAATATCTTTTTCGCTGGTTTTAAATTCAGTCCAATCTCGAATAAACTTTAAAGCGGAATGTGCATTAATTGGTGCATAGTTTTTATCTTTACACATATCTTTTATTAGTTCCTAAAATCATTAAATATTTAGTTTAATTTTAATGAAATCAAAAATAAATTAAATAACTTACCAACATAATTTTATACTTTCTGCAATTAATTTGGAACTTTTTTGACATTGTGCATAACAAGTAACTTTGAGTTATTAATTGGACATGTTGTGTGAGTTGTTGTTTAAATAAAATTATTTGTTTTTGTGTCATTATATTTACTTGATTGCTTGTATATACATATTGAGGAACTATATTTGTTATCACAGAAACATCTTCATTACTATTGTTATGCTGTTCAATGCCTAACTGAACATTTTCTTTAAATGTTGGTAAAGGAGGATGTATACAGCTACGCTTTTCAAGGTGTTCATTAATACTAAGCAGACTATTGTTAAACTCTGAAACATTAAATTGTTTATCTATTTGTGTATTACATCTGGCCACCCCTATTGGTACTGCATAATTATTTGTAGAGCAATTGGTACTTGAATTCCCATTACAATAATTTAACAAAAACACTGGATTAGATGTAGTATAATTTGTACGTTTAATATCATTCTGTAAATAATAATCATACAAAATTATAACAATATAAATTAAATCTAATAAAATATTTGAATGTATAGAAATATATTATATATATATATATTTACTTTATTATGAAAAGAAAAATTAATGCTTGATTTCCCATCCGAATAGTTATAAGCAGGAATAGATTGAGTATCATTTTTAGGTTTATCAGTATTCTATAAATAAAATTAATTATTAAAATAATGTATATAAAATGTTATGAATTAAATACTTTATCATTATCAATTTCTTTGATATCGGTATTAGTTTCAAATCTTTCTACACCATTGAATTCAAGGAAACTATCAGTAAATTCGTTCAATTCATTCATTAAATCATTATACTCCTCACAAGTGACCTTAACTGATTTATCAATACGAAATTCTTCTTTATCAACTATATAAATCACAATTTATTTAATCATTAAATCACTCATTTTTTAAAATAAAATACTGGTATAACACAATAATTTAATAATCATATTCATCTTAATAATTACCATAAGTAAAATCATCATCACCAAGAACATTATACTCAGGGTCATCTTCACCCTCATCATTTTTAAAAGACTCTAAAACAAAACAACATTACATGAACACATAAATAAGTATAATGTATAAAAAAAACTATAGAAATGGACAAATTGATTATAAATATTTTCATACATTCTAAAATATCAATAACAAACCAAAATATGTTGTTAATTCATCTTTACACGTATTCGGTTTTTATATTTTTATTAAGTTACATATAATTAAAAATATAACAAAATACCTACATACTGTAAGTATTAAATATAATAATGTTTAGGTATATAAATTAATTTTGATTCCAAAAGCTAATAACTAAATTAACCATAAGTTATATTTTATAAATTGAATATACCTAAAGGCTTTGTAAATTCATTAAGGAACTCCATCCATTCATCGTTTTCACAAGCTGAATCACACATATCCTCCTGGCGGTATAAAAGATTGTTCTAAAATTTCTAATGGCGTAGAAATGAAAATGTACACCTAGTACGCATTCAAATTGTTTCCTAAACAAATCAAACAAATTTTGATGTTAGATTGATACATAATATCATTGATTATACATAGTATATTGATCATCATTGATTATACACAGTGGCGGCGCGAAATTGTGGAGGCTTTGAAGCATATTGTATATTTTAAATATTTTTACTCTTCATTGAAGCAAAATTAACAGCAGAGGCCATTAATAATTATTAATTATAATATTTGCCATGATATTTGTGTTGGGATCTTACGATTATATATAAATGTATAGACCCACCCACCCATTTCAGATATAAAGCAATTGCTTCAAATAATCCTATATCTCGACGCCACTGATTATACATAGTATAGATGTCTCATAGGTGGAATTTCACGCTACGCTCTAAAAATAAAAATATAAAAATAACAACTATGCTATTTTGCAAAATAAATCTAATGGAATATACCTTTTAATACTTACACAGAACGATTTCAAATACTGTGTGTGTAAAACTCGCATCAAAAAACCGTTATGCGATCATTTTACTATGATTAAAACAAAAGAATCGAGATGGTCCTTGAAGATGATCAAATAAAATTAACCGACTGTGAACAAAATAATAATATATTATTATAGACTAAAATAATATTAAAATTTAAAATTTAAAATATAAATCGTTGGCCCACTAACAACAACAGTTACTGTAAACAACATGAACTACTATCAAGTATCAACTCTTAACTGATAAGGAATCGAGAAACGATAAAGGTCTGAAATCAAAAAAGTACTACCATAGATAATTATCTATGAGTACTGCGGACCGTTGTTATTAAAATATTAGTTATTAGTTTATTACCATGTTTAACACTCATTTACTCCGTGTATTATATCCCAAGTATATTATATTGTTACTACTGCGATACATTATTACTCTACAATTATATGGTATAATATCATAACAATATTGTTGAATATAATTTATATTGTATAACGTATCATCATATTGTGCAACAACAACAACATCGTTGTTATATAATATGCAAAATCACTCCATATTATCATGCGATATAATTATTAGGGAATCGGATATTGTTAAACAGTGGCGTGAGACTTAGGTCCATAGGTCACTTGTATATAAGGCCGACTTTTAGCATACTGTAGGTCAGTGGCGTATTTTGGGTGATTTATCGGGGGGGGGGGGAGGGTGTCCAACATTTATTGAACCTCGCAAACAACATTTTTAGAATTATTAACTTTTCTAGTATTATATATACAGGGTTATTCAAAATGATTCATCCGATTTAAAGTGCTTATATTATTTTATTTTTTAGGTTTAGAACAATATGTTATACATTAAATAAAAGAAAAATATGTCAAGTTTAATTAACTGTATCTGTAAATGTTCTATGTGAGCTCCTTTGGTTACACGAATAACATCTAGTCGGTAGTCAGATTCATACCATACTTTTTGCAGCATAGACTACATGGCTGTTGTTATTCGATTTTTCAATTCAACTAGATTTGATGGCAGTGGTGGTATGTACACAGTGTCTTTAACATATCCCCAAAAGAAATAATCACATGGCGTCAGATCTTTATATAGCCATTTGAAATCGGATGAATCATTTTGAATAACCCTGTAGGTATATTGAGTTCAGAGTTGTAATGTAAATTATATTGACGCGGTATTGAATATCGATATTTTTTCAGATTATTTAATTTTATTGTCCTATAATGGCGTTCGTCCTCGATTTGTTAACAATTATTTAATTTATTTGAATACGTCATTCAGTTATCACCGTGGTGGACGGTTAGCGTACAGCACGACGGTAGACGAAAAAATGATGACAAATTGACAATTAATACCATAATAGTATAATCAATGGTATAATTAATAAAGAAATGTATAATTCTCTAAACTGATAAACTGTAAACTAGATTAAAATATACTACATACAATGGGAATTAAATTTTAGCATACATAATATGTACATTATATACTATAGAATTAATGAAGTACTAATGTAAAAAGGGTGGCAATAGTGGGTACCGCTCTGCTGTTCATTAGATGTCAAATGGGTAATTTTAATGGATGTGTTAAATTTCAATTTAATGATATAAAATCAATGTACACGAAAACCGAAACTGAACGTAGATGGTCTGCCTATAAGTAATAAGTATTAATTTAAGTATATTTTATAATATTGCTATTAAAGTAATTTATACTGTAATTTATACTTATAGTATGTTAAATTTACTTTGTCAAAAACATTTAATTTGTTATACTTTAAAAGTTTTAAGTAGGTACCTACGAATAATATTTTTAAATTACAAAAAAATAACTAAAAACATTATTTTTTGTTTAGGTAGGTACAGTGGTACATATCTAATTTGGTTCAAATTTGAACTTAAAATGTTTATAAAAAAAACTGTGTGAATATATTTTTAGAGATTGGGGGGACAATATCAACGACTTATGAATAACTATGTTTTAATTTTTCAATCTTAAACTAAAAAATTATCATTTTATATATTTTTAACTACAATATAGTTTACAATTTTTCGACATTTTCTATTCATCACTTACATTTGAAAATGTTTTATTAACTTGTAACTGAAAATTGTTTATATACCTAGCTACAATAGTTCAAAAAGAATCAAAATATTTTGACAATATTCGGTAAGACAATTTATGAATCTAAGGTTATTATTTCATTATTAATCGATTTTATTGAAAATTGGCTTTGCGTAAAAATTATCATTTTAGATTCTGAGTGGAGGGATAAATGTATTGATTTTTTAAATATTGTCATAAATCAAACTTTAAATGCCTATAAAAAAAAATTGTGACTGGATTTTTTATATTTTTCAAATGTCACTGTCACAATATATTAGAAGCCTTGTATTAGTTGTATTAAATGTTTAAGCTTTTACCCAACAAATAAAATTTTATTGACATACATAGAAAAAAAATACCTGAAAAAATTGGAAACTAAAAATATCCATAAACAGTTCAAAACAAATCAAAATATTGAACATTTTATCGTTTATAGAAAATGCTAATAATAACAACCACTGAAAATTTCATGTACATACGGTCATTTGTTTTAGAGTTACATCAAAAACCAAAATCAATTTTGTCGAAAACCGAATTTAAGTGAAAATTCCCATTTTTCCTAATTTTTATTTTGTTTTTCTCGGCGCTATGGAAAACTATAGGAAATTTTAAATTTTGACCTCCTGAATGCACCAACTAGATTCACAAATGACAAATCCTTCATTTTAATCATACATTCAGGTACCTATATATTAATGGATTCTATAAGTCACTTTCTAGTCAAATAGGTTGATTTTTTTTTAGTAAATGCCCTAGAAATATTGTTTACTAACTGTTTTAAGAAGTAATTTTGAAAAATATGTGTATATAATCCTTATAATTAATATCCAAAATAAAAGACACAATGTTGATTGCCAAAAATTGACACTTATAAGTTATAGGTAACAGCTACAGCTTAAGTTAATACTCTACAGATACAATACAGTGCAAGTGGTATGCATTTATTTGATACCTTATAGAACACAATGATCGACCTTCAGATATATAATATAATAATAATGTAGCCAGATAATTCAATGTTTTATAAACATATTTACAATATATCTAATATGAGGAGTTGACAGTTGTCATAAGAATGCACATATAATATGCTATACAAATATTATAATTTATTGACTTGTACAAAAACTGCTAAATTCAATACATAAAAAAAATCTAAAAAATAGCTAACCTTAGGCCGTGACAAATCCTTAATTTTAATCATAAATTCAGGGATGTGGATGAATTCTAAGTTACTGTCTAGTGTTATACGTTGCTTTATTTTAGTAAATGCCCTAGAAATGTTGTAATGCAACAAAACATACAGGGTTCTTATCATATCGTGCGTAGCATAGACGTCCTGCTAATAGCTGTTATTATCATTTGATTTACAATTACTAAACTGATTCAGTTTTCATTGTAGACACTCAAAATGTTCACAATATTTATACAGTACAACTCATGCCGTATTGCCGTTTACAAAGTTTCATAACTTTTGTTACAGTATTACGGGTTTGAGACTTTGAGAGCAGTTCAGCAATATTACTGAACGGCAGCACTTTCTATTACTGATTTTTTATTCGAAGAAACTACTGAATTGCCATATACCTGTTACAACTGCTTCAAATTTCGTGAAAGACACTCAACATTTTCATGATATTTAAATATGGTACAAAACGTTAATTGTAACGTTATAACGGAAAATAATGAAAAAAAAAAATAAACGAAAAACGAAAATAATCTAATATGTATCATTATAAAATCATGATTAAACATAATAATATATCTTCATTAAGAGGACGCTACACCCGCATGTGTTGTCTCCGTCTTACACACGTACGACATAGACAAAACGCGTTTAGGCAGTCTGAGTATAACTCGCTCAATTTTGGTTCTAGAGTAGAAATACCTATTATGAAATTGAATTGTGATAATATTTCTAAGGGCAAGACGCTGCGGTTTTTTTAAAAAATTTAATTTTTTAAAAGTCAAAGGTATTTTAAAAATGGTGAAATTTTTTCTATTTCTAAACGATATAATGAACGTTATATTGGGTATAATGGAAAAACCGCAGCGTCTTGCCCTTAGAAATATTATCATAATTCAATTTCATAATAGGCATTTTTACTCTAGAACCAAAATTGAGCGAGTTATACTCAGACTGCCTAAACGCGTTTTGTCTATGTCGTACGTGTGTAAGACGGAGACAACACATGCGGGTGTAGCGTCCTCTTAATCATAATTAATGATTAAAAATAAACAATAAATATAATTTATTAAACGTTATTCGAAATAATGTTTATGGTTTTTTTACGTTGAACTTAAAAAAATTAAAATAACGTTTACAAATATAAAAAAGATAAACGGAAAAAATCAAATTAAGTTAAGTAAAATAACGATAAACATTACAATTATATATATCGTTTAAATATCCGAAAACGTAAAAACGATATATTTATTTTAATTTTAAGCACTGGGTACAACTCATGCCGTGTACAATGTTTCATAATTTTGGTTTTCATTTTAAGTCCCGGTGAGTGAGCAAGTGATCCTGTAAGGTTTCGAGGTGTACTCAAAATGAAATTCATTTTACTCTATGATCTACTTGAGGTGGTTTTTCATACCAAATGAAAACCATATTTTCGTTTTAAACAGTCCGAGTGAGGGCAGCTCGTTTTTTTGTTATGACATAAAAAGTAAGTATGATACCCAAAATGTGATTGCTTCAAAAATAAGTCTACATAAACACACTTTTTCAAGAAATAAATGAATCAAAATAGAAGTATTTTGATATTTTTATCAGGTCTTGTTCTAATATTATAATTTCTCAGTTAAATTATCTGCCGACCGTCGTCATAAAAATGATAGGTATATTTAAAAACAAATTCAAAGATTATATTTATTTAGTATATCATTGGTCATTATAATTAATTAGTATCATTGCCTATATAAAAAAAATCGAAGTTATTATTCATTCAAAAACAATATACATAATGATATATTATAATGATTTCTCAGTTTAATTAAGTATTAATTATTGTCATACAAAACATAATATATTAAAAAAAAACCTAATATCTAACGTAACTACATAATGTTAGGCTATAACCAGACTTTTTCACCATGGACTTTTTACGCCACGGATTTTTTATGCCACGGACGTTTTGGTAGTCTAAACAATAAATCAGCAGTTCAGTAAATTAGACAGTACTTACCTAATTACTATACACAATCATATTTGAAAAACATTTAATTAAATTAATCATTAAAATTTAAATTGGTCAATTATCGGAACAATTTAAATAAATAAGCAATTAATAAAAAATGAAGTATTTGTTGATTAGAATTATTCTTACACATTTAATACCAATCACGAAATTAATAATACAAATGTTCAGTACAATCCCTATAACCGATTCGAAATTTAAAAATTTAAAACCACGTTAGTAAAAAGTAAAAGAAGAACGTCTTGTTACTAATAGGTACAACTGTTCAAGTGAAAGCTTATGAAAAAAAATTGAATGTTGACTACAGTATATTTTAACTAATCCTTTTAATTAAATAAAGAACAATGAATTTAATAAGTTTAATTTTGAAAACTTTTTAGGTATGTGGCTTTTGTTTGTTGTAAAAATATTGTTTCTTCAATTAGTTAGGTGTTTAAAGAAAACCCCATATTTTCAATTGACACAATGGTACTACCAAATGGTTTTTTTTTACAAATTTGGTAGGTGGGTTTATTGTAATAATAATAATACCCACATGGCAACGCAATACATAATAATATTAATTTGAATGCTATAGTCATGGAAATTTACCTAGCTCAAGGTATAGGCGAGCTAGGCACCGGTTTAGAGTGGCACTTAAGTAGGGAGGCGGCATTTTAAAAACCAGTGGGTAGTGGTAAATTATATTATTATTTTAGAGGTCTCAAAATTTGATTTTGCTTAGTGCACTATTTTCGCTTGAGGTGTCCCTGTGACTTACACAAATTGTTTAGATTCTGAACGATATATTTATTATGAAATTCATTATACATAATAGTATAATTGATAAGCCCATGATTGGTCCATTATATTTTAGTAAACCATTAAATTAATTAGAAACCCACCATAAATATATTAAAATTTCCACACACTACTCAATGGACGTCCAATGGTCGTATACTCGGTGGTTCGATTCGCCAGGCCGTCGTCGTTGTCGCAGGGTATGAAAAAGAAAAACATTGCCTTAAACCCGTAAATCGTTTATCATATTTTTATAATTTACTGTGTTTAAGATTTAATAAATTAATATTCTGTTTTCGACGATTTCGTAAGTGCGTAGAAAACCATTCGAGTCTCGATAACACGCGGCCCGTACACAGTACACACCGGTGGCGCTTCCGTCGTCCACGACCGAAACTCTGCGTCGAAATTTCGAGTGTGTACGAAAATATCGAATCGTTTGCGTCGCTCAACCCGTTTTTAATCCATGTTTGCTCCTCTGACAAATTAATGTTGTCGAATTCCGCACCGCGACCGCGGCTTGATAACGTGTAATTATTACATATGGTTATTATTATTACTATTATTATTACTACACCCCCTCTCACCAAAAACTTTTACCGTTCGTCGTCGTCGACCGGAGTGAGTTCGTGCCACTGTTGTCGTTGTGTGTTGTTTATAATAACAATAATAATATATTGTGGTGGTATTATAGGTAGTGTTCGATTTTATTCTTTTCTTCTCGGTCGGGCCAGAATACCACTCACAGCAATCGTCTTTATTATCATTATTATTATTATTATTATTATTATTATTATTATTTCGTTGTTCCGTCCGTCGTTCGCGCTTCAATCGCCGTTGTTGTTTGACCGCGATTACACTCTCGCACACATACACACGCACGCACAGACGTAAGTACGTAACCTCGCGAGTCGCGACACAATCGTCGTACACGCACGCTATTGTCATCATCGTCGTCGTCGCTGTTGTTGTTCTTGTTTTTGTCGTCGACCGTAATATTATAGCGTATAGTTGTTGTCATCGTTAATATTATTATCATCATCATCATCATCATCATCGTCGTACACCGTTCAACAAGTCGTCGACTTGTTATTAATCGTTTCGTCGAATTCTTATCGACCGCGGCTGATGTAACACAATTATAGGTACCTTAGCCATTGTGCCCGGTCGATACTCGCGAGCTTGATGTGCACAATATCATTCCGGCCGTGATGTGTGATGGGACTGTTTTTATTTATTTCTGTTAACACCTCAGGTAATATAATACGGTTCCGACCGATGTTATCGTAGGATTTTTGTTAGTTTGCCCCCGTAGGCGATAGCGTAAAGTCGTTCCGTCGGAAAGCTTTTTGGGTGGCTTTTGTGGGACACGATGTTTTTGCAGATTGCCCTTCGTTCATATTATTATTGATCGTAAAATGCACAATGAAGTCACATTTACTTCTTGAAACTTTTTTTTTTTTCAGGTGCTTTTTTCGTGCATATTTCGTGTAATTCATAGTCAAGACTTTAGGTCTTGCATTGTAGCATAGGTAATTAATAAAGCATATTTTAACATTTTTCCATTGGAGTATTAATCATCAAATCTTTGCTATAACTAATATTTTTATGATTTTGCATCAGTCTTTTCCTATAAATTGTTCATAATAATTAGGTTTAATTTGATAGGTTAACTTTCAAATAATAACTATACCTAGCCACCTGGGTATACAAATGAGTAACTTATATTTTGTATTTTTTTTTCAGATCTACCTATATTAATTTTATTCTAGATGTCAATGATTAAAAACATGATCAAACGATATGAATATTGATAGTGTTCCAACAAAATTAGACAACATGAATATTGATTGTGTAAATACAAAATCAGACAATATGAATACTGATTGTACAATAACTGAATCAGGCAATATGAATATTGATGATGTAAAAACAGAAAGCATGTCACCCGGCGAATTAAAGAAGTAAGTTGATTTTTCATTCATCAATAATTAATATTTACCTACATATTTCATATAATGGATAGGTAAAAGAGTTCCATTAATTAGCTTTATCAAATGAATACCTATGTTGTTTTTAATTTTTTGAATTAAATTAAGTCCATATTACTATATGCGAATAGTTAGGTATGTACTGAACTTAAAGTCAAGTTGATGCGACATAAAAATATGATTTTTAATTTATCATAATTTTAAAATACTTTATCAGAAATGTTATCTAAACTTCTTTATAAACACCAGAACTTCATGGTTACTGACACAGAATTATTTATATAGAAGCCTTAGGAACCAAATGGATAATTATTTTTTGGAATTTTATTTAATAGAAACTTTTTTGAATTTGATTTTAAACAATAGTATTTCATTTTTTAATTTGGCGTGGAAAGAAAATATTTTTATTTTATTTTGTCTTTTCTTGCAATACTGAACAATTATCAATAATTTGTAGCCAGTTGTGTAATTGAGGATATCCTGAATATACCTACCCATTAATATGAAATTCTAAAATACTGACTATTACAAATTTGGTACTTAGGTGTATATGATAGTATTTGTTTATTTTTTTTTTTTAAAAAGTTGATTTCTTAAGAAATTCAACTTTCTAGATGATTTTCTTATATTTTTTAGAACATTGTTCAATTGTAGTAGATACAACATTATCATTAAACATTAAATAATAATATATCTAATACACGAGCTACTACATTTACACAGTATATATTATTAGATTAAACTATATATTTTTTTAAATTTCCTAAAATGATAAAAATATTTTACTGATAATATAATATAGGCAAATATCCATCTTGAATGTTCATATATTTTAAAGTATTATTTTTATCAATTACCAACAAACTACACAAAGTATATAGTGTTAAATGAAGGTAACTCGTGTATTTAATTGTTTTAATTTATTATTCTTAATATTTATTAATATAAAATTAATGTATGTATAAATGATGTATGAAATAAATTAATATTCTTGTGATGGCATCAACCAGAAACAACTGAAAAAATACCTATTCTTGAATACTTCAATATATCACAAACAAAAACAAATAGTTCTTAAAAATATACTAAATAGTAACAGTGTAATATTAAAAATATAAACTAGTTTTTAAAATATTTTGTTCAATATCCCCACAAGGAATCAATATAAAAAAAACTTGAAGACTTCCATAATCATTTCAATATCACATTATTTATTTTAGATTAAAATTTCATGTTCTATAAAAATAATAATTTTAAACTACATTGTTAATTTGTTATAGTTTTCCATTAGATTTAAAATTATATATAAATCTCACTAAAAATGCTGTTGTACCTATATAAATATTATTTTTAGCTTCTTACATCATGGGACATTAAATGTAAGTCTTTTATGATTATTGAAAATATATTAGGGCTTTACAGTTCTTATTTATAATTCATTACTTAGTTTGTTCAAAAGATGAATATAATATATACATTCCATAAGACTACTGATACCATTGATATTTAAAAATAAATTGTTCTGTGCTAAATGACGGTTGGCAAGGGTCGAGTAAGATTACTTTACAGCTATTTTGGGGTTTTCTCTCACTCGCATATACATCTTATGGGTGCAAGCAATTTTGTCAAGAAATTATTGTCTCATCGTTATTTGTAATCTACCGTAATCACATGATTGTTTGTACAGACATTAATAGGAAAACTTGTCAAAAAATGAATATTTCTTTTGAAAATGAATTTATTTGTATAATCTATACTACTAAAACAAAATTACTTTCCCCATTTTTTTCATATAATATTATAAATTTGTTTATCTATAAGGTAATTGAACACTTAACATATATATTACAAAATAATATATATAATCATTTGACATTTTTCATATTTTATATTACCTATATTTCACAGATCTTAAAAACTTATACAATGGAATATGTAGGTATATAAAAAAAAAAATTATAAATACCTACCCATACTTACTTCTGACAATGAACATAATTTAATATTTTAATTTAACAATTTTAACATGCTCTCACTATTTAATAGTACCTAAATAATATTTCTTTAAAACAAAACACTGTAAAAATGAAATACATTTTTCATATAATTCTAGTGTATTCTGCTTTAATGTCAAACTAAAAATAAAGTGAGAATTTTTAAAAAATTCAAAAAAAAAACAATTCTAAGCAACAAATTATGGCATATATTTAATAAATTGATTTAAAGTTCTTAGTTAATAATAATAGTTATATGGATAATATCGAGGATAATATTTTATCATTGATAATATTGTCTATGTCTAATAATCCAACTATATAATTATAAGACCACTACCTACCAATTGTATTGATAATGTAATAACAATTTTTTTTTTTTTTTAGATCTGAACCGTATGATATTTTTAAACAACTTCCACTTGAAATCATAAATAAAATTGTCCTACATTTAGACTTCAATGATGTTCTGAACTTGAAATTAGTGAACAAGATGTGGCGATGTGTATATGTAAACCAAAATGAGATATGGGCAAGGATTTGTGAGGATTTAAATATACGAATCATTGATTATAGCCGGTGTCTATATGATAGGTCAAGACATGATTCCGATTGCATAGGATATGCATGTGTAGCTTCAGAAAAATTATTCGGGCCTTTATGTGATTATTGGGAAACTTTTAATCATTATATAATGATTATAAAGAATATAAAAAAAAATGATTTTCCAACCATTTATATACGTCGTCAGTGTGTAGAACAATCTTATTGCACTGATGATTATATAGTCAATATAAATTGCGAACTCAAAGAACCAGTTAAAATAATTATTTTAAATGGGGCAAATAAGCCCACAAACAAAAAAATTTTGCCAATATTTAATGAATTTGAAGAATTAATTAAATTGAGAAAATATCCCCTCAAAGTAATTGGTAACAAAAGGTACTTGGTATTTGAAATTTGTTCAATTATATTCGTATATTCAATTTGGAAAACTCAATTCACCAAAAGATTTTTTAAAGTAATACAGAAATCTGTTGAATATGGCTTGAATAAGGATGATTTCAACGAAGAGTTCTTAAATAATCACTGTGACACCAAAATTGATTTATATGATCATAAACTAGCAATGGTGCACCCAGCTATTAGTACATTATTTTTAACCGATTTAAGTACTGGAAAAACATATAAAGAATTGGAATTTAGTTCAAGAAAATGCATTGTTGATAGCATGAAATGCTCTGATTATAGACTCATGATTGGAATCACAAGAAGGGTAAATTTATTAATTATTTGTAATAAAATATTAAATTTTTTTTAAATACTATATTAGGCAATTGTACTGTTTGTGTGCAAATGATTTTTTAACTTTGCCATCCAACTCATTACACAAAATTCTGTTTCCAACAGTATAAAAAATATCTTGCGAAAAAAAAATCCATAACTTATTTCAATAAATAAAAAATTGTATTGAGGGAAATTTCAATGATGTAGTTTAACTATACAACTAACTTTAACATTTAGACGGTGGCCAGGCAAAAGGGAATAAGTCCATTTTTACAATTTTTTTTATTGAATATTCTTGTAGATTATTATAATCCATATCGATTGGCATTAAAAAATTAAACAAATTTTAGGTTCATTTTTTTATAAAACCCATGAGAAATAATTAATAAGGTATCAGTCATTGTACAAATAGGAACAGTTTTTTTTAATTTTCTCAAAACAGTGTATTTGTACTTATTCTCTTTTGCCCGGACACCGTCGATATATATTATAGTAGGTAACAGTTCAGGTTACAGTATAATAATAACTAGATTAAATACTAATTAGTTATTACTCTATATGATTTAAGCTAAAAAAAAGAATTTACAGTGTCCAACGTGTAGTTTAGTTCAAAATATGTTTTTTGTATTTTATCATATTATTCTTTTCTATTTTTTTTTTTTTTTTTTGGTATTTAAATTAAACTTTTGTAGTGTTACATTATGTTTGTAAATACAAACTATTTAACCGCACGTATACTAACTATAGTTAGCTTATAAAATAAATAAATTTACATTTATTATGTTTTGATTTTAATTTCCAGAAAAAAAAAGGCTTGAAAACAGAACATTTGGCAATTGTTTATCACATGAAAGGATGTACACAAAACAATAGCTTAAAGATACCCTTGTTAGGGCCTGTTACTCAGTTCAAGGTGACCAGCAATTGTATTGGAGTAGAAAACACAGGTTCTGCAACTCCTTTTATCACAAAGCAAAATAATTCATACTTAAATGTGTTTTGGCTTGAATGCGATACATTTTCATTTGACTGTACTAGAAAGTATATTTATTATAATGTTAATCAAAGTATATTTCAGTATGACCTATTTAAGTCCATGTTGTCCAAATTTGAAGTAGTACAAAAAATAGCTGTCGATGCAATATCAAATCTCTTGCCTCTAACACCTATAAATGATAGATATTTGTTAGTTCGATCGACTTATCCAAATTCATATGACATATTTGATGTGAAAGAACACGTTTGTGTTAGGTCAATACAATTAACTGCAGGGTATTCATTAGTTCATGTGGGTAAACTATCTATAATGTTCTCTAATTCCGAAGAATTTATGGTAATTGCATTTAGTTAATAATGTAATTTTTTTTTGTACAACTGTTTTTTTTATATATATATATATATTATGATTATTATTTTAAACTCCATTACAATGCAATATTTATTGCAAATGATTATTTGTTTATTAATTATGAATTTAAAAACAAAAATATTTTTGAAATTATAAACTAACTGAAGGTTGTTTGTTAAGATAATTGGGTTAACTTACTATGATTGTGTTCAAGAGGATAATATATTCATTTGTAGCATAATATTTGTATAACATTTTTTTTATTATTTGATTTATTTGATTTTTCTTATATTTTGTGTTAGATTTAGTATTAAATTTTCATTTGGATTGTAAATTTTTTTTCAATAATACTGCTTTTTTCTTTTTTTCATTAGAAAAAAAAATGCATTTTATTAACATTAAATTTACTCTACGAAATTAATTAAAATAATTACTGTTTGTCATAAAAAAAAAAAAAATGTATTTATTACAAAAATAATTGTTAATACTTAATTGTTGTGTAAGGTTAAATTGAAAAATAATTGTTTGAATATATAATTTAAGTTTATATATATTTTAATAATTAGGTATTATAATATATTAGTATAAAGTTGTTAAGTAATTAATTTAAACTTATCATTTAATATGAATAAAAGATTTAATTTCTCATCTAATATCTTGATTGTATAATTATTTTTGAATCATTTAACCAATTCTCACATATTATTAAATACTACTGGATAATATTATTTTATGATGAATGTCATAATAAATGATAAATAATATATATTGCCTTTGTGTACAAATTATGTCAGGAAGGTACTAACAGTAATCGGTGCCGCGGAAGCAATGTGAAAGCAGACCCCGCGGCGCCGTCGGTTCAAAACTGAAAAAAAAGGTACTAGTGGTAATAAAAAATCAAACTTGCTTCCAAGTGATTAAAAATATAAATCAACTAAAAGTAAGGATCATAAAATTGTTCAACAGTATATATTTTTAATTTGTTTATATTTATTATTAAAAACTACAAACACAATATATAATAATAATAATATGATATAGTACATGATATATCAATAGGTTTAACGTATAATGGTTTTATTTTTATAACACCCAAAATTAATATGACAAAGTATAAATATGGATTTAGAACTTCATTATTATGAGTTCATTAGTTATTTAATATGTTGATGATGATAATAATAATAATAATAATCAGTGGCGCCGAAGTCCATGCTGAGGTCGGGCCGTGGCCCGACCTCTTTTTTGAAAAATGTGGCCGGCCGGCCATATTAATTTACATCATAACTTTATTATAAGCATGAGTAAATTTAAACCGTGATTATAAATAAATTTATATTAGGGTACCTCTATATTAAATAATTAAGATATTGAGGCCGGGAAGTTTTAAAATTGCCCGACCACATTTTAAAAACTTCGGCGCCACTGATAATAATGATAAATAACTAATTCTATACTGAATCGTATGTACATGTTAACTAACCTATAAGTAGTACACCAGTTTGTTGAAATGGCAAGTACAATGTTTAAAAAAAAATTATTGAGCTTAATTTTTTTGTACGCTTTATAAACTATACATCGATACTAAAATTTACTACGACAGCGCAGGGCAAGTCGATTGCATTGCGCTTGAGTTCAGTCTAATACGTTGAAACAATTGGCAAATTTGTGAATCGACGTGCGAGTGCGTCGACTGTTTGTAGTTTAAATGAAAGAAAATGCACGAAAAAAATCTATAAATGCATGTGTCTCCAAAACACCTGCGTGAATGTTATGTGTTTTTCATTACAGAGGCGGCCATGTAAAGTGAGAGTGAACCGATTTAAAACCTAAACGCTAAATTTTATGGAAATTTTGAGGGTGACCGTGTGCGCGTGTGATGAACGATGTGATCGATGACGAGATGACAGATAATAATGATGAATAATGTAATATTGAGCCCTCGGGCACGAGCGTATGATGAAATCTCTCATCGGTTACGTCGCGACTCTGTGTCGCCTCCCACGCTTATTGGCACGGAGGTAGGCGCTTCTGTCTCGTTCCTGGATGACTTCTTTACGAATGACGTTCTGATGTTGTTGAATGGCATCTCGACGGCTACGGTGAGTGCCACGGACACCATGATGATGGCCAGCATCTCCTTGATGTTTATCTGCAGAAAAAACGCACATATGATCGATGAATATTATGATAAAACTGTCTATCGAAATAGGTGTGAGTACTTATGGCCTATGGGTGCCCACTTGGAGATTTTAAGGGAAAAAACGTTACAGATTTGCCTTGCGAATATACTGTTATATGTTATAAGTTATAACCGATATTTCGTGACATCCGATATCGTTATAAACGATACTGTTAATATATTATACAATATATATTGGTAAATACTTATTAGCATACCGTAAACAATTTAGCTATCAACCGATTTTACGAATAATAGGTAGGTAGGTAGTATGGTAGTAGGTACCCATAACCATAAAGGTTTAACTGTCTCCGCAGGTCTGCACATTTCGACCGATTTTGCGCAATGATTGACTTTATATTCAGAAAACATAATAATATAATTATAGTGTCCAGACACCAATCTGATATTCTAGTCGCGGCCGTTATAAGTATAATATTATGAAATTACCTTCCCATGTAGACGCCGAGCCGCCGCCAGTGCGCACAAAACTGTTTTTATTATTTTTATTATTATTATTATTATCAATGTTGCTTTTTATTCTTTATACAAATACATAAATATATTATAATGCTGCTGTCGATGAAAATTTTGAAATAAATCATGAAATAATTTTTTTTTTCTTTCAAAATTAAATTATTGATATAGGTAGGTACCCATAACATTATGTGCAATTTATGCGAACAATTTATACAATATTCTCACAATGGTCAAATATTCAAAACGAGTTATTGTAAATTTAAAATATTCACACTTGGCGATCGAAATAGATGTCTGGATTAGTGCAAATGTTGGTATCGTAAAAATAGACTAGCAAAGTCATAACCGTCAAATACTACAACATGGTTTTCAACTTTGAACTTGCATACATTTTTAAATGTTATACCGTTTCAGATCTGACTTGGATGTCAAACGATTGCTATCAAATAGTAATAAAATACCTATCCTAATAGTTTTAAATATTTCTGTTTTACTTAAGTGACTCCTTATTTTTTCTATTTTTGCCCCAAGCAATAGTAAAGCATTAAATACTTTTGAAATATAGGCATTTATATTGTGATATTATATTTAAAAATACAAAAAGTAAAGAACCTATACTGGTACACTTAATTATACGGATATTTGTGTCTGTGCACTTTGCATCAACTAAATTTAAAAAATATACTCAATCTTGATAGGTACCTATATAAAATTATTTGTACGATTGTACCTTGTACCTATACCTATACAATACTATACAAAAAATAATTTACTTAGACAACTTCCAACACGAAAAGCTCTGACTGATTAATAACTACTAGTATTTTAAATCTATTTTTATATATAATGTATTTAAAATTTGTTTTTATAAATACTGTTTTACTCAAGTATTTAAACATACCTATACTTATTGTCTGTTTTAAATAAATTTCAAAAGTATTTTTAATAAGTATATGAGTAGAAATATTATGGTTGGTACGATATCTTAATTTGTTGTGGTAAGTGTAATAAACTTATTTATTTCTATTATTATTGGCCATTTAAGTTTTTGGAATAAATAAACAACCTTTAACTACTTTTGAGGGATGAGGTTGAAGTATAACCGTATGTTCCACAAGTATTAAATTTCTTTAATACTTTAAAAAATATATATTTTATACAATTATACTGACTGAGTGGGTGTAAATGTGTAGGATACATCATTCATATTAGGCTAGTAGGCTACACATAATACATAATATATTAATATATTATACATCTATACTTACGATCAATCCAAAACTGTATTCCAATGCAGATCTATGACTTCCCACGTTGTAGAAAAATACCGGAAATTGAGTTAAGTAGAACGTGTAAGACAAACGTGTGCACACGATAAATCCTTTCCAAGAAAACAACGACGATACGAATCCTAAAAAAAAAATACACACCATATTAATAAAATATGAATAAAATCCGATGAAATGATTATAATATATATGTAGTATGTACAATATATGTAAATTAAACACCTAAATGTGGGAAATAAATAAATTACGAATCTCTGAATAAATAATCGTATAGACAGAGTTTCGGAAATTCCAAACGGAAAAGGCAGAGGTAGTAATTATTACTAGGCAATATAATAGCTGTCTATTATATAAAAACTCCGGGCACAAGACCATTGGCTTAACTAGAGGGTCTAGGGGAACTCTTAGTCCATGGTTTATTTTCAACTTTTATTTTACAGAGTTTCTTTAACCCCTGTGACCATTAAACTCCAGTGACGCTCATGACGGGGTGCACCCCGGGGTCATTTTGAACTTTGGTTTTCTAGGATTCTAGCCACTATTATATCCTATAGTTACGCCCATGTGACAAGTCACAACTTTAGTTGATTTTATCTAGACAAATACTGAAATAAATATTTTAGATAAAAATACTACTAATCAAGACAAATTTCTTGTCATTTGTTGACTTTTGTAGTCATGCTGTTGGTCTTTTATGTCAAGTTATCATCATAAATTTCACATAGCGAAAGTATGACATATCAGTTAATTTTATTAGAAGAACATTTTTAACTATTAATTTATTATAATTTATTAGTTATTAACAGATTACGTGTTGTTCTATATTATGTTTATTTATTTTATATCTATATTCTATACCCAACAAGTAACAATACGTGGTCAGTATTTCAAAATATAATGAGTTATGTTGAATAAATTAAACTATAGTATTAAGTCATACGTATTAATTAAAGATACAAAGAAGGAGGAGACAATTATAATTATTAATTATTAATTTTTTAATAAAAATATTTATAACATTATGTTATGCATATTATAAAAACAATTATTAATCAGTAATTTCAATAATAACAATAATTTATCTATTTATTTTTATGTGGGTGCACCTATAAGTTTTAATTCCAAAAAATGTTAGGTTAGGTACCTACGTAAGACACCCAAAGGTCCCAGTTTGACAGAAAAATAAAAAGTTAGTTTACGCAGTAAATATGGGCATTAATATGGACAATACATTCAACGAGGTGAAAAACTTTAATCAAGTGTCTACTGTTTATAGAGTTTATGAACTACAATAATATATCTAATTGTCTACAATGAGGGTCATTAGGTGTATTAGGGTCTTGGTAGAAATGTTCAACCATAAAAATGACGAAAAATAATGTTTGTTAATTACCTAAGCGTAATAGTAAATACCTGTCGAGTATAGTGAAAAGTTATAACAGATGTCAGCTCTCCACCATACTTGCGTCATTGTGATTATTAAGGTACATAATATTTACAAATTACTAAGAATAATATTTTATCTGTATTTTTACAGAAATTGTAGATTCTTAACGGAGCGATGAATCATGAATTTATTGGTTTTACAATGATGTGTGTCTCTAGAAATTTGCTCGCTCAAACCAGTGTGAAAAAAAAAAAACGTTGGTATATGATTACAGCATTGCACTATTGCAGAAACTCGTAATATTAAACAAACAAGAAAACCAAACATGAAATTTATGATGTTAATATTTTTCTATCATTCAAGTTGAAATTGATAAATTAAGTTTAACATAAAAGTATAAAACTTATGTGGGGAATTAAAAGTATGAACACTGACAATTGTTTCGTTAAAATGGGAATAATTACCGTCGAAAAAACCGAATTCAATAGTATTAATTTATTACGGAATTTATATTAGGCCATTTGGGTGACGTCTTTTTGTACACCCACAACCGAATCGAATTTAATACTTTGGTGAATTAAAACGAATACAGCATAATTTGTGGAAAAAATAGCACAAGGTAGTTCGGTTACGATTTACCACGATTTATTTTTTTCATTACTCATTACAGCCCACGGAATGTTATACAAGCAATAAGCATGATACTCAAATAAAGACACATAGACAATTCATTTACACGGATCTATTATCTATCTACATTAATTGTCTATTTCGATATTCGTGTTTTCAAAAAATATAGTAAATAAATATAAGTGACAAGTGTATATTATGTCTAATGTCTATGTAAAAAATAATTTGTCCTGACTAACAGAATCATCATCACCTATGGTCGGAACACTGTTGTTTCGAAAAATTTTTTTTTACTCCTAATGGCTAATACTCATTATTATGTTTGAGACGGAACCACTATAAACTATTGATTTTTATTTGGCAACATAGATATGTGAACTATGATATTGTATTTTTAATTTCATAACTGAATCGAACTATCATAATAAATTATCATATTATTATAATTTTGACGAATGAAGGTAGTAAGGTACCTACAGTATTTTTATTTATATACCTAATAATAACATTTATGTTTCCAACACGGAAACACAAGTTGTGAAGCGAAGAGAAGTTTATCGGAGAATAATGTTTAGTAATGCACTATATCTGATGATGTATATTTTTTACGATCAATAAACAATGCTTTTAACGTTCGATTTTTTTTTTTATTCTGTATATTCATGTGCAACCGTCACAGTAAAAAAAATCAATCGTAAAAACATGCTTTCGTACTTTCAATAGTACAAGGGACTTGTTGGTCGTGTAAAAACATGGTTTTGGTACCAAAATAAAAATGAAAAGTTGTACTTAGAATCTTGGTACAGTTTATTGAAATTTATTTTCACACCGATTTTATCTGCATTTTAAACATATAAAAATACGAAGTGATTGTATATAACGAGTGTTGGCTATACGTTATAGTCACTCTGTACACTGCAGGAGTGGACTGACCGTTTCGATGTGACAATCCCCACCTGGGAGTATGCAAATCGGGACCTTTTCTGTGATATTTAATGGATGTACCATGTACATATGCACCTATATGTTTTTAAAAGTAAATTAATTTGTTTGCAAAAAATATCGACGTCAAAACTTTAAAGTACAAATTAAAGCTACTCCGAGAATTATAGCTTTACTTGTCAATATAGTCTTACATAGTTATATTTTATATTCCATGAAAGTTGCAGGGCAACTTTGAGCGATTATGCCAGTTCCCCGGGGCCGAATTATAGACCCAGTCCGCCTCTCTGCAGGCTGTGCCATATATCAGGACTTTATACCCAGTAGCAGTGTCATAATAGTTATTTATTCAAACAGTATAACATAGGTACCTCCATTGCCCGTGTATGAGACGAATATAATCCAACTGAAAAAAATGCACCAATAGATGGGCGCAAAAGCCGCATAATTGGCGGCATCGCTGGCGTTGTACACGTAATCGATGTCTCCCATTTTGGCAGGGTGTATAAACGCTTCGTAGAAGAATCCAATAGCGACGATCCAACCCAACTTCAAGTGGCCCTAAACGACAAAATATTTAATATTATTAATGGTTCCTATGTTGTTACTGATATTTACAATAATCTTCACTATCTTCCAGTTTCTAGAATGTTAACTGAGTGAAAACGATTTTAAAGGCTATAATATTTTAACTTTATTAATAATAACTAATATATTTTTTTTTTTATTTCTGAAAATGTACAATCTGTATTTTATAACACAATAAGTAAAAAAGATGACTGACATAACACTATGTACATAATAAAAGAGCAACACATGAAGTACAAGCTGAGGGAAATCATCCAGCGATGGTACCCACTCTGCACTCCTTTGTGTTTTGCATACCTAACTACTTCAGTGAGATATTTTGTATTAGTTTTAATACATATAATAATTAAAAGTGTTTTTATTATATACTTTAATGAAAATTTACACTTTCGCATTCACATGATAGAAACTTGATTTATAAAACCGTAGTAAATATTGTACCTATCAATTCTATCGACATGAATATACATAATATTATTTATAAAATATGGTCATAAATAATGATAAACAGACTTACGCTTTTCAACGGGTAGTTTCTTCCTACGTATCGCAGGCAGTAACCCAATAGAATGCCCATAATGTACACAGTCAGCCTGTGAGTTGGCAAAATGTATGAGTAGTCTGCAGTATCATACATTTGCGAAACCCTGTAGACGTGAAAAAAAAGTGTCATATATTACTAAAGTTACCATATGTATCTAATATCTATATACTATAATAGGCTGTAAGAAAATTACAAAAAAAACCCTGGACAAACAATTTTCTGAGTCGAAAGTTCACTCGATTTCAACGGTAGGTAACTCAGATGGTAATTAAGAAAAATAAATTAAGTAACTTTTTCTTAAATAATAAGTTATGTTAATATTCTTTATCATAAAACTTTTATAGATATTTGAATATATTCATTGTTGGCCTATTGATATAAAACCTAAATTTCTTATAACGTTTATTAACTACTTATTATAGTTTTTAGCCAACTAACTCAAATAATTTGATTTCATTAACTCCCCCCCCCCATCTTTTATATATAAACCTATACCTAATGTCATTAGAATAGCAAAAACGAATATGAATAATATATAATGTGTATAATTTACGAGCTTCCAAAATTGATAAACAAGTTCAATTTTTTCGTTAGCGTCACGTAGTATCGAAGTCCGGTCGAAATGGTCGCTAACCCCACGAGCGCGGCCATGCTCCTTCTAGGCCACTTCCACAAAGTCCACACGAGCAGAGGTGACACCATGAACAGCTGTGAATCGATTCCGATGTGATGCGTATGTGATAAGCACTGCAAAGTACAAGTTAAATGTGTTACATTATATATTAATGTATTTACGTGTAAATATTGTAATTTGTATAATATTAATAATATTAGGTACCTAGGTATATAATATTATATCCTGAAGTTACTATATAGTACCTATATGCGGTGAAGGGGATCAATCCTACCCTAACAATTTCCTGAACCCCTCCCCCTATGAAAAAAATGATAATCTTCCCATGATAATATAATAATTTATCTATATCCGTGGTTCTAAGCTTAGTACCACAATGCGTGTCACCAAAACAAAATGTTTGACAAATATCTTTGGATTTCAATGTTATTTAAAATAGGTACTCTTTGGTCTCAAGGCTTTAAGTGTGTCACCATTTATTTGGTTAAAAGTTAGGGTGTTGTCGTGAACAAATGAGAACAACTGGTCTATACCTATATAATATAGGCTGCATACACTGCAAACAATTATTATTGAGTTGGATTTCAAGTTTCTACTGCAATAAGTACAAACGTATAGAGATGATAGTTATTCGTGAATTGTGATGATATTATTATCGTGTTCCTACTACCTATCTACACATTTTCGATTAACGGTGCACCTGCATAGTTTTTATTGATTTAACAACATCTGGTATAAGAATAAACCATAAACGAGTCAGATACTTCTAAATAATTAGTGCATAAAAGTCATTGCGCTAAAATATAATTTCATTTAATTGCGCCATTACTCATTATACTATAATATACTCATTTTGAGGTGCTCAAATTACATCGAAAACCATGAATTATTCATAGCGTTTTATTAAAAAAAAAATTACATAAATTAAATATTGTTTTCCAATATAAAGTACGCATACCAATTAGTTAATTATAAAACGTATAATTTAATTAATAGAATTATCAGCTACCTATGTAAATATGTAATATACAAAATATGTACCATATATGATAATTAAATTCACAAAAATTCAAAAAATTATATACTGAAATAACTAATGAGTACCTAATTCTGCAATATAAAATTAACATTATTTAATATTAATCGATGCATGAATCTAATATATTTATTTTTAATTTTCAAAGACGTATTACGTTATTTTCGTAAGATTTCATTATACAATATACAATTTTCAATAAATATTAATTAATTTTAGTCCAAGGGTTAAATTAATTAAACTTTGTAGCTAATGTCAAGAATATATCTGCAAAGTTTTCTGACAAATATGAAATAGTTTAAATGGAACAATAATATACAGAGTAACATAATATCTGTTATCACTTTTATCGACAATGTTGGTGCTTCGTGGTGCTTCTAAATCAATTGACCAATAAATAACTTGTTATATACAGGTTTGATGTACAATTTTTAAAATTAAGAAAAATAATCTGCTCTGGAATATGAAAGGAAAAAATGTATATTATAATTTAAAAAAGTAAAAAGTAAAATAATGATAGTAATAAAAGTTAATAAAAACAAATTAAAAATCAATAATAATAAAATGTTTTCTAAGATACATTAATTTACTGAACGGAAATTATGTAAAAAAGTTTATTTTTTCCAAAATAATGTGTAAACTGTGGAAAAATGAATTAATATTAAACTATTATACAAACTGTTATAAAGTACATCAATATTAGGTATATTATTATGTTAGGTAACTACCTGCGATAATACTATTGTATAATTTGTATAGCAATCAAGAGTTATACAATTGGAAATGTCGCTGATATTATAAACCAAATTTAAAGCATCGGTATAGCCGTATAGGTACTTAAAACCTTTGATAATTTTAGTGATAGAGCAGTAAAAGAAGTGCGTGGCTTTGTCCATGTCGGTCACTTAAACGTGTCTTTGTGTTGAAAACTAACAAAAAATGTTAAAGTTTTGTTAAGTCAATTTTATTTAATATTGAATTTCCATTGCTGTTTAGCCAGAAAGTTAAATAACAATAAATTAGCATAAAATAATTTAAAATTTCAAGTCTATTATGAAGCAAAAAATAGTGGTAATAACACATGTTCTATAATCTATAGTAATAACTAATAAGTGTAAATTGGTTGTAAATAAATTAAAATAATATTTTACAAGAAAAAACATTCTTGGTACATATTACTACATATTATTATAACCATGAACTAGATTCTAAAATTGAACGTCAAACAGTAAAAAATAGTATTAAAAGAAAAATGACTGAAAACCGTATTAATGAACAACCATCTAAAACAATATTTCATAACAACATTTAATTTACTTAGTTATATAGTTATTAGGTATTCGCATTATGATCGTATAATACATTTGTTACTGAACTTTATTAATCATTTCTTTCTTTTAAACAGTTTGTCGCGGATACCCAATTGTATAATATTATGTCTACTTATAAAAAATGATCGCACTTAGTGTACCTTATCGGGTTTATCATGGTTTGTATATTTTTTTAGTCTCAGTTTACAGTTGTACACATTGACTTTTAAAAATGTTTATTTTGTCATAGCAAGAAGACCGCTTCTCGATAAGAAAAATTAATCATGCACCAAGTAACTTATCTGACCTATTTATAATTTATATAACACTATGTGTACTGTGCAGCAAATATACGGTAAATACCAGAATAAATCATATTGTAATATAAATATATTATTATAATATATCCAGAGGAAGTTTGTAGAGTACCTAGTAATGTAATCTAATTACTTTAATTCCCATGAAGTCACATTACCGATAACACAATAGTATATTGTGTGGCTAGTTCAGCCGCGGGCGACCTATATGGGTACGGCACGAACCGCAGACGAGGGCCGCATTTCGCCCAAGACTGAAATTGCCTTCCCTCACGAGCCACACATACTATTTTTTGTCACGTCTCTACGTTCATCGATTAAGGCAAAGGTATTGCAGGGATCTGTGCAACAACCAAACCATTCTAATATTTCATGAAAGAAACGATTTTGTTTTATTTATTTTAAGCGTCACGCAAGGAGGTTATAACATGAATATAAGATGTAACCAAAAGTTTGTGCTTTGTAAGGACCGTGGTATAGATTATAGTGCCTGGTTGAGAGTGTCACGTGATATGTGGGCTCAGCACTTTTTGGGATTTCCATTTTACTGGCCGCTTCAACCGTTATCGAAAACTAAACTTTCAGTGTAGGAGTGATAAAAAAAATGTTTTACAAGTCTATGATATATTTTATAGCACGATCGCCCTATATATAGCTATACAAATTACAATATATAACAACGATATATTATTATCATGAATTAATAATTATATTATATAAGTATACCAATATACAATTTAATTGAGGTAAGTATACCTATCTGTATATATTATATAATATATTGCTATATTATATCCTCATTCCGCGTTTAGTATTACCATATTTTTGAAGCCAAAGTAATTGTGGATGAACAGGAAGTTTCTCCACCATGTTTTTTCACAAATGTCAGCGTGGTGTTTGACCACTAGATTCCATTGCGGACCGGAACCCAAATTTGGTAAAATCAGCGTGCAGAACAATATGATGGCACCCATCGTCGGCACTAGTCTGCAATGTCAAATGATAATTAAAAATATTAATAATATTTTACCTAACGGCTTAACATAAAATTCACGTTTTATTGTGTAAGAGAAATAAATATAGATGTCGGCGAACATTTAGTGACGGTTCGCTAGTCGAGGTAAGTGAGGCTATGCGCTTCACCTATGTAATAAGTGGGAACTGGGAAGGAAAGACAATTATAAATTATTTATTCAATTTTAATATTTCTACAGATTTGAACTATTATTTAACACTTAAATAGTCTTTGAATAGTTAAGTTTTTTTAGAGTTTTGTTAATTAATCCTGCAGAAAATTATAAACTGCACGATAACCATATGACAATATTGTGACACCGTTCACATCCCTCCACTGTCAATTATACATTTTAATAGTGAGGTGAAGTATACATTTTCCTTAAGATCTCACTGGTACAAATAAAAATATAAGATAAAGGAAAGCCAAAAATATAAGATAAAATGGGAAAGAAAAAATATCTCACTCAACAGTTTGATAAATAATAATTTTATGGTAATTATAAACTATGATGAAAGAAGAAAATAAAAATCGGTATAATTTCATAATTTGTACATTTCTTATCACAATGATCTTTATCATAATACAAAATTTGTAATCTCAATACCTATATGTAGTTTATAAAATTATGTAATGTAGTCACGATTATAAAGAAATATAATACTTTATAGCAATATATATTCTTAATATTCGTGTATGTATTGGTGGTAGTTATTAGAACATTTTTTCTCCAAGGAATTTTTAAAATATCTGCCTTGCTATGCCACTTAGGAGGATGTCAGCGTACTATTTGTATTCTCTCTCTGGTCCATAATTCAACATAGACAAAATGCATTTACACAGAATCATTTTTTCTATGTTTTTAAGTAATCTTCGAGTAAAATCACAAAAAAAGATAAAAATTAATATTTTTGAAGGAATGACATATCGATTTGTCTAAATATTGTCTCAAAACAATTTAAACATAATTTAAATTTACAACATTTTTTGTTTATTTTGAAAGTCGAATACAAAGTCAAATAGCGATAAAATATAAAATCGATATGTTACTCCCTCAAAAATACTATTCTCTATCTTTTTTATAATGGTCGATTTCACTATAAGATTACTTAAAAACATAGAAAAAATGATTCTGCGTTAATGCGTTTTGTCCATGTTGCTCGTGGCCCAGAGAGAACAGAGTTTAACTAGAGCTCAGAACTAAATGCTCTAAAAATCAATAAAATAATATACAGTGTGAAAAATATATTTGTTTATAAAGTATGATAGTTTATATTATAACCATTTTAAAATAGAGAGTTGGTAAATATTTTTACATTTTATTCAGGAAAACCGTGGAGCAGCTAAGAATGGGGGTGACCTCCCCACCCCGAAAATAAATCCTGCAGGTATCGCCACTGTACTACTGCAGGAAAATAAACCGTTCTATAAGAAATCATTCTGCATACGAAAGTTGCTCTATTGTCATCCGTTAGCGTATTCCTCGGCTATATGTCTATTTCGATTTGAATATTTGATCATATTCATTGAGGATAATATAATATCACATTTTCAGGAGTGTAAATCAATGAAAAAATTAGTATATGGAATCAGGGGTGATTCAAATCATTCTTTCATGAGGAATATAAATTGTCTCCTGCAGGAGTCATCATCAATGCCAAATAGGTAGACGCGTAGTAGGTATACCTATAAATTATAGTTTAATATATCCCTATAAGTTATAAAAAACCCATAACGATTTTTAAATTCTATTACAAAATTAAATGTAATACAAAACTAAAACATAAAGTTAAAAATGTAAATAAGTAATAACCTATAATCGTTTTAATTTTTTTTTTTTTTAACTAACTAACTAACATTTCCTAAGAAATACGATTAAATAAACTCAATTACGATGATTTGGTTTAAATAATTCTATAAATACTATGTAATATGTATTCAACTTTGTCCACTCTGCATGATTTAGATACAATAATATTATTGTTGATAGTTAGTTGTGACTTAGTAGCTTCCCAATCAAATCAGGCATTGTTGTTATACCTATACTTACTATATATTGCTTATGGCGTACATACCTGGCAAATCTAGAAAGGAATTCTTTTGGCAAATCGATCTTGCCCCTTCGATCTAAATGTCTCAAGAACGATATAGTAGTCAATAATCCACTCATGAATATGAAAGGATCCGTGTAGAGACTCGCCGCCCGAGCAATAACAGTCCACTGCTTCCCGAGATGCTAGAACATATTTCAGAAAATTGTACACTGATATGTAGTATGTGATGATGAATGATGATTTTATATTATATTATAGTAAGATAGGCGATTTAAAGGTTATAGGAATGAATTATATTAAAGTTGAATTTTCACATCTATGTCGAAAATTATTAATTTTAGTTAATTTTGTCAATTCATGTCGATATTAACGGTCGGTAGATAGTTGATAATGTAACCGTAGATCATCTCAAATTACACATCTAGTTTCTAGATGTCTAGATCAATGATTAATTTTCCTCTTTCCAAATTTTTTCTTCAGACCTTCCTACAAGGGCGTGTCCTAGAGGCCCTCAAAAGTATATTTTTTTATACCACTACGCCCCAAAAATAAAAACAACCCGTAAAATATGGAAGGTAAATATGTAAATAAATGAAAATAAAAAATGCCTATAATAAAAGAACTTATATGATATTAATAATTAAAAGCAGCATACAATGAAATTTGTCAAAAAAAGTATAAAATTATAGTAAAAATTTAGATTTCTGTAATTAATTATATTAAATATTATATTTATTTTTTTTAATATCATTTTATAGTATTTTTTGCCTAATTACTGTATTAACTATTGTAATTTGTATGCCGTTTATAATTATAAATATTATATTTATTAATTATTTGTTTATTATATGCATTTTTTCACATTACAAAATACAATACCTGCATATTGTATATGGTATACTGCCAAAAAGTCCGATTTATAAAATGTCAACAATGAAAAAGTCAAAACATAAAAAGTCTGGTACATATAATTATGTGGTCTCAGAATGAAAAGGTTCTAACGTAATTTTTGTAATTGTTCAGGGGAACGTTTTTAAGTTATCCCGTTCACGGCCGTACGTATCATTCACGTATGAATTAGAACCTTTTCATTCTCTGTATCTCATTGAATAATCAACGGATCGATACGATTTCAGGATTGAATTATACAACAAAAAATATTAAATAATAATATGCAAAAAAACCATTTTTCAAAAAAATTGATTTAGAACCTTTTCATTCTGAGACGACGAATTTAGGTAAAAGGAAAAATACCATGTGATGCACAATCAAACTTCCAATTAGTATTAATATTAATATTTTATTGTAACTAAATTATTTTTTTGACGACAGTTAATTAAATAATAAGTCATAATACTAGATAAGTATTAAAATTATTGAATTTTTTTTGTTGTTATATATTATATTTTATATGAAGATATAGTTGATACTCAGTTTAATTAAGAAATCATTATAATATATATTATGTATATTTTATTTGTATGTAATAATTATTTCGATTTTTTTATATAGGTTATGATACTAATTACTAAGTACATAATTATAATCATTGAATTTTTTTTAATAAATTATTTTAAATTTTGTTATGCATATAATATAATATAATATACCGGACTTTTTTACCCGAACTTTTTTCCTCGGACTTTTTTACTTCGGACTTTTTTACCACGATTCATATTTTGTAATAATTATTAACAAAACAATATGAACATAATAAAAGTAAAAAATTAGGTAGGTAGGTACCTACTTGTAACTGTATATAATATGAATCGCGGTAAAAAAAGTCCGAAGTATAAAAGTTGTAGGAAAAAAAATCCGGGTTTTTTAAATAATATATTATTTATTAAATAATATTTATATTTACCTACCCTATTTGACGAGTTGGTATTGTAATGATGTCATATTCTTATGAGATGGCAATTTGTTGGTACATTAATAGTTGAGGTTGAGGTCAATTGTATATATTTATAAAATGATAATAATGATACGATTTGAACCACAATAATTGTTTTTGGGGGTTTTTCCTTTCAAAAGTTAGGTGTACGCGTTAAGCGACGCGAAACGCAGAACGACAGGCCAAGGTGAAATCTTCAAACCGTCGTGATCGCAATTATAAAAAAAAGCGCTTTTCCTGGTGATTCATTATTTCGATGCACACATAGGTACATATTATAATATATAATTGTGGAATTGTTTCGGTTACTTCCTGATGCGTCGGTACCACATTTGAATTCGCAAACAACAGCATTAATGCACAGTCATCGCTGCCGGGTGCTACAGGAAAATATCGTGACAACTATATACAAATATAGGTATCTAACCAGTAACTTACGCAGAATAAGTATAAAATACACTATATTGTTCGTGCATACAGGTGTATTTAAGTATTTTGTTTTCAATAATTGATATTTTTTTATCTATAAACCCGTCATCACGGAAAAAACATTTTTTTGCATATTTAATAAAAAATAAGATATTTAATAAAAAGTTTACCCTTTTTCATTTTTAGCTGTTATATTATAGAAATATTGTGCTCAATTGTTATTAACTGCAGTATACTTGATATGTTTCATGTAAACTATTTCACAATTAATAATATAGTTATATTAAAAGCCAAAAGGGACAAAAATATTCAATATTTAATAAGAAATTCAATTGTGTTCAGATTCAGATTCTCGAATTGTGAATTTCTCTGATCTTTTAAATGTGCCTATAAATTTTCACTTGAAAAAAAAGTAGTTTGAAAAAACCTCTAGAAAATTGACGTCAGTACCTAACTTACGAATAATCTTCACTATAATTTTTTATAATCATTAATTATACATAATATATAATCGTTACCTCCGTCATGGCGGTCCTGTTCGAATAAGGGTTGAAAAACATAGCCATGGACTTGTGAGAGGCCAGCAGCATGAGAGCGTTTAGAGCACGGATCCCGTGAACTGACCCGATGTCTTCAGGTGACTCATTAACGCTCAACAGCTGCCGAACGTTCCTCTTCAACGAAAACGAGTACAGTACCTTTGACGCGGTGCCTGGAAAAATCGGGTAAAAATCCAGTTGATGTCAATATAATCGATAACAATCGCGTGTTACATCGACCACATTATCCGTGGTGCACTCACTTTCTGCACTCTGGAACATGTTGTACTTGTCCATGACGGTAGACAAGATTATGACCAGGAACAGAACTCCAAAGACCGACCTGTAATTTAATATAGATATATTGTATAGGCATTCGTTCGTATTGTTATTAAACGATGACTTATACCCATAACACAAACATAGCCTAACCGCGATTTGGGTGCATGTTTTCAAAAGTCATGTTATAAATTGCCAAGATTCAGGAAACTTAAAAATTCGGAAAATATTAATGTTATAGAATACAACATTTTTAGAAAATATATGTTGTATGCTATATAAATAATGTACAGATAATTTTAAATAATTTATATTTTGTATTTTTATATTCTATAACAGGTACTTAATCACTCAATATTGTCAAAACCCAAAATACATAATAAATCACATTATCACAATAAGTCAAATAATTATAATACTTTTTATGATTTGTTGCTAGTTCTTTGCATGCGGACTTAGTATTGTGGACTACTGTCCACTGAACAAAACTTTATGGTCATACCTATCATCTGGGAAAATCTATAATACATACTTTTATCAAATGTATGACTATGTAGTATGTACCCAACTTCATCTTTTACACGGCTTTAGTATTTTTGACTTACACTGCGATCAACGAACCCGTCGTTGGCACGATAGAAGGCCTATACGTCTGACACATGTCCGGATCAACTTTAAGTCGCAAATTGATTTCAGTCGTGTCGATGTACCTCGACAGCAATAAGTACATTTCATGTTCGATGTCGGCTGGAGAACAGCTCGCCGGCGTGCAAATAGCCCAGTTCATGGTGGAAAACCTCGGGACTCGATGACCAGGCTGAAAGACGAAATCATGTTTTACAGTTGCAGTACATTGAAAAATTAAAACAAATTATATATTATTGATATCTATCCAGTGTAAAGACCGAGGTAAGTGTACTTAGTTTCAAAATATCTTTATAGATTTATCGCTTATTATCAGATGATCAAGTGACAAAAACTAACATTGATGAGGGATGTACGATGTCTAATGTCTATAATATTATATCTATTTAATTTTCATAATTTCATAACGAATATGTAATCTATGTACAAATGTACAATGTATCTATAATTATTACAAAAAATCCTTATATTGATCAAATGTAACGCATTGAATGAATATATTTTTTAGATTTTTAAAGGTCATAAACATTCGAACTCTAATAAATAATAATATATGTATTAATATATTATGTTGTTAAAATAAAAAATACAAACATATATAGCCTTGCGCACTTGCTGTATGTATATAATGCTCTTTACGTGAAAAATTAAAAATTATTTCCCTGAATAAGACCGGATACTGGAAAATGTATAATTAATTCGAATTGCCTTGAACTCTTTTTTATTTTTCAACAGAACTTCTATGAGAGTTCGAATCACAGGTATGTAGTTAAATTGTAGGAAGTCACAGTGATAAATTGGTATTTGGCTAAAAGTGTTATAACTTTCCGAATAGATATATATCATTATATACTTATTGTTAAGCAACAACAATCAGAACTTCTTAACACTTAATAATACACGCTGTTCGACCTCCAAAAATCTCAAATTAATTTATAATTCCTCGATAGATTAAATTTTGTTTGGACGAAATCGTTAACTACATTATGTAGTTATGATTAGGTACCCCAAACATTTTATTCCTCAGCAGTTCTGAAGGTCATATAGTCGAATTTATGGATTATTAACAATGCATCGAAATAATAACCGCGATGGTGCGATGTTTGTGAGGCATTTTATTTTATTTGCACTCTGCAGAAGGCTAGTAAGCAGGTACCTAAATGATTTGTTTAGAACAATTTTAGTTTTCAGACATTTATTTATTCGTGCCCATCAAACATGCAATTTAAAAAAAAGATATCTGATAAACGATAAAAAAAAATAAAAGCATTTTCATACAGTTTTGAGATTTTTGGTCGAGCTATTTGTTTGTCTTCATATGTATAATTACGACGTTAGTCATAAAACAAAATTAATTTTCATTTCAAACACGTACCTATGAGATGTGAAAATTATTCAGTTGTTTTATCAAGAATATTTTATTTTATATTATTAAACTGACTTAGCCCTTTGACAAAATGTAAACTTATTAGAAATAAAGAATCGTATAGTAACAACAAGGAAATAGTATTATTAAAATAAACAGTATTTTAAAACTATTTTCTTTTTCTTTGCGGTATATAGTCATATCCATCTACTGGATTGATGCATCTCTGGCTTCAAATTAATTTCATTGTTTACAATATTGATCGTTTGTGGAGCTGGTGTGGAGCTAGGGTAAAGTCGCGTTTTTGATATCGTGGTAAATGAAATGCTATGAAAATTCCAAAGTTACTGTCCACACCAGATTAATAGGTCATGAAAGTATCGATAAGTTTTGTCTAATATATCGAACACACGATATAGTCGGTGGGTTACTTCCGTGCTGTTCTGACAAACAGTTTGGCGTATCTAACTTACGGCAAGAACAAAGTTCATTTTGGATTACCGCAATATCGATGAAGGCTGTTTCGGGAGCGACAGAGGCGTGATCAAAAATAGTATTCCTGGCCCGAGCAGGAAGGCAATATTTCAGTCTTGGGTGCAATATATCCCTCGCCTGGGACTCGTACAGCACACGTCACCCGTGACTGAAATAGCTCACTTCCCGCCCTTGCCAAACAATATACTATTTTGGTAGAGTCCCTGTACCTCTACTCCAGTTGGCAGTTCCAGCAAGACTGCCGTCACTCGTTTAGATTATTCGATGTCCGCTTTAACCGTTAAATTACTACTATAGGTATCCATAATATTATTAAAGTAGGCATACTAATTAAAAATAAATTAGCATATATAATATTATTATTCTTAGGTCGTATAAAAATAAACTAATATGACGGTTGTGGTATAAGATTTTTATCTTGAAAACGTGACTGACGAAACAGCCGTAGACAAACAAAGCTATATATATCATACAGTGGTAACAACATTATTTTTTAAAATATTCAATTATTCTCGATAAACATCTGATATCGGCCATATTTCAGTACACGATGACAGTATCTGGTAGGTACGTCATGTTTGTCTAATATCACACTATATTTTATTTTAGTGATATTTGTAAAAGACTCTGATGTTTAGGTATACTATATTACATACCCACAACTAAAATAACATTTTATGATGGCAAGTGTTCGGTATTATATATTACACAATCATATCAAGATAAACGATTTTTTTTATGGTAAATACGTTCCGCACAGACAAACGGCGTTTTTACAAAACAATAAAAGTACATAGACACAAGCATAGTCGACTTCCGGGGTCTGTAAACAAACGCTGCACACGTCATGTACACATAAACTACGTAATTTATGAGTCTAAACTCTAAAACGCATTAAAATGACATATTGCCCAAACAAATGAAATACATTAAGTATTATAATTTATAATGTACCTAATACCTATATAGATTATAGATACGTTCAAATCGTCGGAAACATTGTAAACACGTACAAAAAAAAAGTACAAAAACAAGCGATGAATAAATAGAGCACAATACCTCAGGGGTTAAATATATGTAAAAATTCTTGACTATGTACCTATGCGGCTGTGCCTACTTTTGTACTAAATATTAATCATATCAAAGTTATGGTTTTCAGTTAAAAAGCTTGAAAGTTAAACAAGGTTCCTTATAAGTTGTTTAAGCCCTTATTAATAAAAGTTGAAAATACAATGTAACAAATTTGTTTATTCCCGATACCGTAAGCGGTTAAAGTTCAAATTTTACAAAATTCGTGGATACCAAGGGACAAGTGCGTAAGTACAGACTGGCTACTGGCAGACGAAACTTATTTTTCATAAATATAAACAAATAATAAGATATTCCATAGGTATTATCAACTATACAGTTAGATCAATGTCATCGATCCAATTAGATCAATGATATCTATCATCACTGGAAGGCCGTGTGTACTAACTGTCACTGACCAGTATGATATTCATTTGTTCATCTTTTGAAAACCATCGATAAGTTAGGAATTTATTTTAAAAAAATAATGATAATAATAATAATATTATCAGGATTTGAAATAAAATCGTCTCTTGGTATATATGGGTAATATCGGTACAATCGCAATAACTGGTTTGACAATTGACATTCACGGGACATTGACTTCTTTTAACATTATCAAACTTCAGGACATAATATTATTATACATAGGACGTATTATTAAAACGTCTATAGTTACGACTATACCTTCCACTAGTGACATTATTTTCTTTTTGTATTATTTTTCACGGTCGATCGTCAATGTTGAACTATTCGATGCTGTACATGTTTACATTCGATTACGCAGGCATGCTATATACGTACCTACCTACCCAGTACGGCAGTACCCATCATATTATTATTATTTAATCCGTAGGTATACTTGACACACTAAACTATGCTCGTGTTCATGAGTATATTTATGGCATTATAATTTATATTTTATAGTATTACTATGTATTACGTATTTATTGTTTACATTAGGTACCCGGAATATCGAATGCACTAGCCACTATGTACAGTGACAGGGACACACGGTGATAGATGTACAATATGTTGTTCTAACAAAGCCAAACCCCGTTTCTATTGTTGTAACTTGTAGTTGTATTCTTGTATACTTTAAAATATAAACTTTCTGTTTATTTAAATTTAACGATTACTGCTTAAATTCTCGCCGTTTAAGGGAAACATTGTCAACGTAGGGCGAGGACTGCATCACCCGAAGCTTGTAGGAATACTATCGATTGTTCTAAATTCTACAGGCGTACCTAACTATAGATGTTTTAACTAAAGGTTAGGTCAACCACCCAACTGCAAAAAAAAATTGTTCCCAAAAATATCTCGGTCAATAAAAAAAAAATATTATAAAATAATGAAGCTCGATTAGTCGCTTATGTTATACTCAATATGGGTAATAATATTGTTATTTGTTACAATTAATAATGAAAACATTTCTTACTTCTATCATTATGTATATTTTTATTAAAAATTTTCTTATTTAATTTGCATATTTTTCTAATTTGTAATGCACAAATAAATGCATACAGGAATGGGTATGACATTGACAAGATACTAAAGTTTGAAACCGGTTTAACCAATTTTCCGAAAAACCCGTTAAAACCGCAGTTTTTTCGTATTTGAATACCGTAACCAAAACCCAAACCAAAAACTTTAAAACACCGGCTAAAAACCCGGTTAATAAACCGTAACTGAAACCTAAAATCTTAAAAAAAAACCGTTTACAAAACCCCAACCGAAACCATAGAATTGAAAAACCGTTCTCAAAACCGATTAAAATTTAAAACTAATACTAATTAAATCACAACCTTTTTATATTATTATTGGCATAATCGTGTAAAAATAACAATAAAAACATAGGTACATATTTCTCATTGTAGTTCGATTAAGTACCTTATCCAATAGACATTACCGTCGGGGAAATCCTATTAAAAAATACGCACAAACAATTTGTACAATATTACGTAAACGTAATAATATATAATAATAATTAATAAAAAAAACAATTTATACGAGCATATATTTTATATTTTTATCACATGACCTTCAACTTGAATACCTAACATTAATAAGTATTAAGTATGATATTTTTATGACTTATGATCGATATACCTATAATCATTACTCATATAGAAATATAAAAATATATAACAGAAAAAAAATGAAATGGATCGAATATTATTATAACTATTTAAACATTGTATACATACAACATAATCATAATATGACATATTATGTAGGTATTAAATGCTTATTGTGAAATATAGGAATTTAAATGCAAACATTATCCATATACCTACACTATACGGATAGAATCTTTGGCGCCGGCCACATTAGTCATCACAAATATATTATAATGATGAATGATGATGTTTTTTTTTTCAAATTTGAATTTTGTGTTAGATACACATAGTAGTTGCACATGATAGGTTTGTGGCTATCGCTGATCGATTATAACTTTAAAAATAATTTTTATATTTTCTAGAAATTAAATAATTATTTAAAATTAGAGGTAGGTACCTAATTGTTTGCTTGTGTGTAAAACTGTAAAAGTAAGAACATGTTTAAGCCCCCCAAACATAAATCCTGAGTGCGCGCCAGGATAGAATACATTCCAAAAGTATTTTTAAAACTTATGTATGTAATATTCTGTATAATCGTATAGGGAGCATTAAACAATATTACACATTTATATAACCGTATATATTATTAAAAACAATTTCTTTTCAGAGTCATCCAGAGACTCAGAAAAACAAAATATTATACCATTGTGGCCTGCACATACATTAATACATTTTGTACATAACATAAATTATAAGGTACAACACATAACAACATATTTCTAATGTTTCTCACTCCCTATATACATAAATACATAATACATTCATATATAAATACAATAAACGATATACATAATATTATAATAATGTATACTTACGTCTTCCAACCGACTACGAAAAGCTGAGTGTGAGTGCATTAGATCGATTATGTATTTTAATTTTTCGTTGGAATTTGATGGCAACGTCATTTCTACGTATGTTAAACAATACTGTCCCTGAATGCCCGAGTTTTCATCGTTCACTCTAAGACACTGATCGAAGTCTCCGAACTGGTTTATATTTCCGTTCAGAATGCCCGATGGTATTTTTGCTGAAGAATCGTACACTGCAATCAAAAATAAGATATTAAAACTCACGACTTACGACTCGTACAGTCAACACTCGAACGTGGCAAATACAGCAACGAAATTTGTCGACAAAGATGCTTTCGACGAAATTGGTCTGTGATGCCATATGACATGTACAAGTTATAACTTATAACTTACAAGTGTGATGGTATTCAAATTGTAAATAATCTACTTTGAAAACTGTAGAAGGTACTGGAGCAATAAATTAGTTAGAGATGCAAGATATACAGTATTGAAAAGGTGGACAAGTGGGTGTCACTCTGCTGTACAGTAGGTTACAATTGGGACACTTTAATGGATGGTGTTAAATTTGAATTCAATAACATAATAATTTATAATATCATTGTATAAGAAAAACGATTCTGAGCGAAGACTAAGTATATTTGAATATTTGATGATATTATTTTGATTTGTGAATAAAGTAATTTCATTAATTTATATAAAACCTATTTACATGGAACATCGTTTTAATTTTCAATCCTTAGCTATAAAATTTGAAGATTTTATAAATTTTTAACTACAAAATCATTTTAGTTTCTGAGCGGAGCGATGAATGTATTGATTTTACAATAGCGATGTGATTTTAATAAAAAAATCGCTACTTACATGAGAAATTGAGTGAATATTCAATGTTGTAAAAATTTGAACTTCAAACGCTCATAAAAATTTAATTTGAATTTCCGGTAGACATTTTTTTTTGATAAAAGTAGACAAACTTATGAGAAATCTTGAATTAAATTTTAAAATTTTTTTATGAATTTCTAACTCAAAATAATTTCAAATTTTCTTGATTTTTACTTATTTTGTCAAAATTAGAAATTTAAATGCTTGTAAAAAATAATTGTGACTGTATTTTTAATATTTTTCAACTGTCATTGTAACCATATATTATGAGCCTTATTTTGACTACTTATCGTGTACACAGACAAAAAAAAAAAATAAAACACACATCATTATAAAATCAATACATTCATCACACCCTTCAGAATCTAAAACACGAAATAAGACATAAATACATAATATATATTATAATTATATACATAATATAATATATATAGTTACATGATGTAAAATTTAAATGTTTAAGAATTCAAGCAGATGTGGAATTTTAATTCACTACGGTGTACCTACCTACAGTTTCAGTGCAGTCAATGGGTCATTTCCATATAAACAATCTTTTCAAAATGGGTGTCTCGGCTTAACATGTAGAGGACTCAAGGGGACTGATAACTGACTAACTAATTTTCAAATATTTTTGCGTAGGAACTTCTGCTACATTTTTATTATTTTTTGTTTTTTAATGGGAGACGAAGTAACATAATATGACTGCCCTTACTATCGAATTAGGTATATCAGAGGATATCAATACGTCATTGTTCAATCTGTTTTCATTCATAATATTTCATGAATTGACCAATGACTCGGTGCTGAATGTTAAATAATATGGCAAGAATTATAGTTTGACGTCGAACATCTTCGATAAGAACGAAACATGAAAGAACGATAAGCTAAATATTATTTTTAATAATATTATACGATATAATATTATTATTTTAATTTTAATTGCTCTGATCTATTTTTATTTTATTTTGTTTTCACTTTAGAGGAAAAATTGTATATTATAGCATTTATATCTTAGCATATTAATATTATTAATATTATTTAATAATCTACTCAGTCTACATGCCCGAAACCTGTGCGTTCTCTCGTTGAACAGAATTTATTAATAATGGTATTTCAATGCTTGAGAGTTGAGACGATTATTATATAATTTTTAATTAATTTGTTTATATGGTGACACGAGAGCAGTGGATACTATTCGTAGATTATTATGACAATTACCTATTTTTATTTTTAATTAAGCGTTTAGGTTTAATAATAGTAATTTGTTCATGGTCCACATGTAATGTTTAAATGTATAAATGATAAAGGGTTTTATATACGTCAACAGTCAACACATGTACGCACATTGTAACATGGAGTCATAAACAATCAATTCGGTTAAAATCCATGAACGAAATGATTGGCTTTATGAATAAATATAATTATTTATTGTATGATTATTGGGTTGGTCATTGTTTTGCCGTAATAGACGTCACTGTGCAATATACATATCATATTAGGCATAATTTGCAAAACACTCGGAAAAAGCGTGAAGGTTTTTTAAAAATTGTATATGCAGTATACGTAAACATGGTATACCGCTTAACGCCTATTGAATATTAATAGTTGCCAGCTAGTCGGAACAGGTGGAACTATATAGGTAGCCAAGTAGGTACCTACATAATAATAATATGACGTATAATATAGACACAGGTGTACATGGTGTATTGCGTAGTATTGTATATAGTATAATAGGTACTCGTACTAGGTCGAACTTGAAAAATAACCTCTAGTAAATAGAATGCACGTTGACACTCTCCAATACCAAATTGTGTTGCAAATTCCGTCCGATATAATATTATTGTAAAAAAGTACCAGGATACGACTTCTACAAACTTCAGTTACCTACCTACTCATATCAAAATAATTTGTGCGACAACCGCTTGAATTATTCCTAAAAGGAATATGAAAAATATGCATACGTTTATATTATATTATGCTCTTTTCATCATTAACATAATATTATGCAAAATATGCTAAATAAAAATGTTTGCACCTACAAAAATTATAAACAAATTCTATTTAAAAATATTCAAATTAAATTAATCAAACATAAGTATTTTAAAAATGAGCACTCTATTTTCATATTAAATTCCTGATTCATAATATTAAGTACCTTGAAGGTAGTGAATATTTTGGAATGTTATTGTAAATAAATTGTTTTGATTCACTCGTCTAAAAAAAGTAGGTACCTAGGCTCCTAAGTACTGAACAAAAATTATTCTTTTTAACTAATAATAATAATAATATAATTTATTTCTTGCAAACAACAAAATACAAAAGAAATAACAAATTAATACAAGCTGCAAACTCCCCTATATAAGCGTAATGCTTGTGGTGGGGATTAAGAATTTGAGAAATTAACTGTTAAAATATGCGCTATTTATAATATTTTGTATTTGTTACCTCAGGGAATTGTTATGTTACAGGTGACAATTAGTGGAAAGTAATGTATAAAATGTTTTTAAAAGAACCCAATTTGTTCAATATATGGATTATGGATGTTATAACCAAAAAATATTTCCAATCATTTAAAAATATATGCAAAATGCAATTTTTCACATAAAATCAGTAGAATTGGAATAAAATGTGTAGCTTATTTAGCCTTTAAACTAATAAAATATAATAAAAATGCGAATTCATATAATTCCGGTATCTATAAAGCGTTATCTACATGCCTGATCTGCAGCGATCTAAGTGCAATAGTTTGTATGACTATTTACTGCAATAAACTTTGTAAAGAAGTCTCTATTTTTATTTTTATATTTCCTATAAGTACGGACTATAATATATTATTATGATATTATGTGTTGTATAATACTATAATGTATTAATGTATCATTGAACATTAGAATAGGGGATGCTGCGCAGGGTATAATGTATTATCTACAAGTCTGAACTTTCAATGCTCTCTCGAATTGGTGACGAAAATACCATTAATAACTTATTTAAAATTTTCCTATTTAATATTTTGAAAAACTATCTTTATTCAGTTATAAAGGCTATAGGTACCTACTAATCTACGCTAATAGGTGATAATCGCTATTATAGTAATCGAAGTGCTTAAAACAACATTCGCATTTACAACAATAGAAAACGATATTGTTCCTTGTGCCATGCTGTGACGCTGCATCAGTGAATTAATTAGGTACCTACCTAACAAAACAAGTAAAAACAAATAATTTCGATCGTATCACTAATACCTACTAAAATAATATAATACGGATTGTTCGAAAACATTACATAATAATATAATCATCAAATAATCCTAAAATATCCGAGTTACTTATGTTCACACATAACTATACACGTTACACGTAGGCGTTTCAAAATTAATTTTCCAACACCTGGTACCAAGTATAATCCTACCCATGTTGATGATTAAGTAGGTGCTACCTATACGTATATCACTCTAAATAGATACAGTAGTACAGTACTCATATAATTATTCAATCAACACTTTAATCCGTCTAACCATTTTTTATAATAACAGTTTCACTTACTTCTTAATGCCCATATTGTTAATTTTTCTAATTCTCTTAAATAAATTTGACTGTGGTTCTTGCATAATTCGTTTGAACTGCTTAACACAGCCATTGGAGGACTTGCGAAAAACAATCCTTGAATCGTGTTTGACAACAATATTTCGTTTTGTTTATTATCTAAAAAACACACAAGAAAAGAATAATTAAAATGTATTTAGGTATATATAGTAAATATATTCTTGTAACCGTATAATATATTAAACACGCATAGCATTTCTGGTGTTTCTTTTTTAAGGAGCTTTTTTCATATTTTCTCATTCATATAAAATCTATAATCTATTACAGTCTATATGTTAACAAACCTAGTCTACCTATAGTCCATAACAAATTTAATATTGATATACTTAAATATATAATGGTACCTACTCAGTACGCTGCAATATAATAATTAATAAATAATAATAATAGTTTATAAAGGGACGCAAGCTATATTATCATTATGACATTATCAATAAAATTCATACTCAATATAAATCGATACCTAGCTATTATTAATTTATTATTCAACAAAAATTTTAATACACTTACGACTTACATAATAATATGATATATGTTACAATTATTGGATTATCTGAGTGTATGATAGTTTAAACTGAATAGCACACGTGATTACATGACTATTTATTTTGTTTTAGTTTTATTACCTATTAATACAATTTTATTATTAACCATAGGACAATATTTTATACAGTTATACCTAATGTACTTCAAAAGTAGAGTTGTTTTCAATCGTCGTCGATATAATCGATATTGGAAAATACCAGCGATAAGACCATAATAAATATTAAATAATATTATAGTGTTTGAGAAATATTTAACACATATTATATAAAATATTTCATCTGATAATACACATTGTTTTTCCGTTGTCACATGACTGTACCCAACAACAATCGACCGAATTAAATCATTAAAAAATATAAGTATAAAGTTCAACTTTGACTTGTTATCATTCTTATTGTGTATAAAATACAATATTTTACTCCTGGAAATTGTTGTGATCGTTCGTATAAAATGATACTAAAATATTCACATTTTTTCCTAATAAATTACAGTGAATATACATTTAAAGTTGGGGAATGTAAACAATATTTTTCTATAATTTTTACACTTAAAATATTTTTTAATTGGATATGTTGTCTATATATTAAGGGTTTTTTTTTGAATTTATATTAATATATAAAGCCAAGTAAGCAAATTATTGGAAATATTAAATTTATTATTTAAAATTGTAACTTTGTGTGTAATTCACACTTCAACACTTGAAATTATTAAAATAGTCAGAAATCAATAAATTATATTTTATAGAATATTTCTCCAGATATAATTATTGCATACTGTTCATAGGGACACATGACTCATATAAAATGACCCCACTAAAATCATTTTCTATTGACTAATTTTATTTTAAATACTTATTGATTTTTTTTGTATAATATCCTTATTTTTTAAAGAGCCGTTAATTGATTTTAAACACGAAACGAAATAAAATAAAATAATACTGACAATATTCAATTACCTTTATAAATATTGCATTATATAATTATAATAACCTCACTTCGCCCTATGCTTTTGTGATAAAAAAAATTGTCAATGAATAAATATAATCATGAATTACTCAAAATCATGTAAAAAGAGAAAATTATGTGTACCTAATAAAGCAATAACTATATCCATAATTTGTTATTGTTAGTATTCACTACTATTCAGTACTGAGTGAGTGTAATATCTAAAGGTAACTTGGAAAATAAACCAACACTGTTTACTGAATAGTCTAATTTTATTATAATATGCGATAAGAATATACCAATTGATTTGGAAGATGCTTTACAAAGAAGCATCAACATCATCATTATTAAAAAAAAAATGTCTTTATTAAATAAAACTAATATTCATAATACATATACCTAATATTAAAATATTATTTGTTAAGCTGTTAACATTTTTTTTATGATTGATAAATACAATCTTGGTTTTACTTATATAATAAATAATAATATACACATTTATAATTTCGATTAAAATGCAATTTGTTATAAATATTTTATTAATTCAGGACTGAAGTTTATAAGTATAATTAACTAGGTAAATTTCTCAACTATTATATAATAACTAATAATGTTTGTACTTAAAAAAACATTATAATACAACTATAATACAAGTAGGTAGATTAGATTAGGTTCACTGCAGTACTTATACTGGAAATATTAAATTCAATTATGTGGTTTGTTATAAATGACCCATGGTGTGGGGAGACTTGCATAACCTTACCAAGTGACCAAAATTATTAAAGATTTGTGCTCCTCATCAAAAATTAAATAAAAATAAGAAAACATTAAAAAAAAGCAATGTTTTATTAGATTAAAATATATCATTTTCCGGGTCGGTTAAAAATTGTCCACATTTAAAATGTCCACTTGACACAAGAAGTAAATGTGGCCCCGATAATGACCAATTATTTCAATTATATATGTATTATATATTATATATATATTATATGTAGTTATGTGCTTATGTGTACATCTAAAATGGTAGTTTACGGACAAATAGGTGAACAAAGAGTAAATCGCTCAAATAGACACAAATGGAAATAAAATAGTGTTCAGCGATTTGTGATGGTCTGAAGGCTATGACATGAAAAACACGAGACGCAGCTTTATAAGTGTTACCTTACCGCTATCCCGGTATTTGGTATACAGCATTTACCATGCTGAACAGATCAATTTTTACACGTGATTTTATTATACAGAATGAGTTATCGAGCATGCCACCCCTATTTTTTCCTTCATAATACATTTTTTTAAATTCTAATTTTTGAAATATAATTTTAATTTAATTTTTAAACTTAGGACCATGTACTAAAATATACTTCGATTATTTAAAAGGCTTGCAAGATCGTTATGAACTTATGACGCATATATAAAAGAAGTTAATACGAGTAACAGAAACACTGTGAAAGTTTCCAAGATTTGGATGAAGGATCATCAATCCATTTTCAATGAAAACGAGTAAACGAGTTTATATCATATTGATATGTAAAAAATTTAGAACGTTTCGTCTAAGTATATATATATATTGTATGTCATTAATTTATAATACCATTTGTTCTATTTTTATGTACCTAATCGCGTGGTCTAAGCTAAGGCAAAAGCTCAGATTACGTGCGCACAATATAATACGCGTTCAACATATTTTGATTTTAGTTTTTGGCTAGGAACAGAAAATACAAGTTTTACATGATGAAGTTACATATCATAATGTAGCCACGTTGTTATTTGTATACAGTTGTTTTTTTATTAGTTGTAAAAGACGCAGAAATCAAATAACACATTTTTAATTTGATATATAATCTGTATACTACGACAAGTTCTTGTCAAAACTCAAAATACAGCAACATCGTATACTCAGTGTAACTGAACTGTCTGAACTATATATTTTTAGACTCGTTTGGTCGTTTCCGAAGTGGAGGTACCCTGCTAGCCGCAAATAATATTTCTGTACTGGCTTTTTTCCGAAATATTTTTAATTTTTTTTTAGTGCATGCAAGATTCAAAAACTTAGACTTTTCGCTGTGTCTCAAAAGTGACAGTTTTAATTTTGGTACTTAGAACTTAGTGTGTGATATTGATATACAATATACTTGTACTTTCCACTGACTACAGCTCGGCCATGTTTATGTTTATTCGTGAATAATATTTGATAGCCGTTCTTACGAGACTATATTATAGAGTAGGTAGTGGAGTTGGAACGGAAAAGTTTAACTTGAAAATCGTTATGAAATCCGTTATATCACAGTCAAGATGAACTCAAACACCTACTATGATTAAAGTATTAAACGTCCATTAACCTGTTATTAGCATTTAGCACTTTTGATGGTTATGGTTATTATTTATTACCTACTAATTATTGGATTCTGTTACATTAATAGTATGGCTATGACTTAAGAATAAAACGAAAAAATAGTACATAAAAATGCAATAAATAAAATAACGATCGAGAGTGTATAAGCAAAATATTTAAATAGCCATCAGCCGTACATAAAAAAAATCAATAAACACGTTTTGGATGCATTACCTAGTTACAATTTTATTAGTAATAGGGTATATTGCTATAATGCTCATAAATAATAAATTTTCTGAAAACAAATTGTTATAATAGTCGACGTTAATCATATTTTGTAAGAATTAATCGGGCCAAGGCCTATAGTTATAATTTTAATAAAATAAAATAATTTATCGTCGGTTTGGTTATTGCTGAAAATTGTTTTCTTTTTAACACTAAAATATTATATTTTACACAAAACTAATAACTAATAAGTATAAATATAAAACTTTCTGAAATATTTATGTAACATTCGAGTAATTTTATTCACCTACCTGTATCTACCCATTCGAGTGTCTGGTAGTAATATTACATTATTACACATAAAATATCTTGTACCAATATAAAATTGAAAATATTTACACTTTACTTATTTTAGGGTTAAAAATGTATAATAAATTATATTATTATTGAGAATATTTCCATTTATTGAGAATGTTTTTTACCTCACGTGTTTATCATAATATAGTGTGGTAGGACGGAGAAGGTGATACCATTTTACCCATCATATAATTTAGTATTTACCAATAATAAATGTATACATGAAAGCATTACATTAGAGTATTATACCTAGAGGCTAGAAGTCTTTGAAGTTTTATAGACTTGTAAAATGAATGAACATATATCAAGTTAGTACTAACTACTATCCATATTTAATACTATTATATAATAAACAAAACTTTAAGTGTACCTACGTGGATACATACTACATTATCAATATTTTATGATAAATGAATAATACGCACACAGAAAAATAATGTTCAAGCTCAAATATAACGATTTCAAAAAAATAAATATGTCGCAATATTTAATGAATTAGAGCTTAAACCGGGGCAAAATACCTTATAGATATTTTCCTAAATCTTAAAGTATTAAAATGTCAAGGAGGCACCTGCCCCTCCTGCCTTCCGGATTATTCAAAGCCATATAAGTATAACATAGTAATCTTGTATGTTTTTTTATGAGTCGTGAAACTGATGGGGTAGTTGTTTAGATATAACTTCCTTTCCTCTCAA